AGTGGAAAGATTGTTACAAATATACTTTACCAGTCCTTTTGGCTTCTAAATATAATTACAGTTGATTCTCTGTGTGTGTGAATCTAATGAGCTTTCCTTGTTATTGTTGCAATAGGAAGCCATCAAGGAACTGGAAAGCCTTTTGTCTCAGAGAATTTATTGTCCTGACAACAGAATCCGACGGTGGGATCGACTGGCTCTTAACTTACACCAGCACTTGAAGCGCCTGGAACTGGTACTCAGTAATGAGACATACGTGGGGCTTTTTTCATGTTTAAATGAATTTTTAAAATACGGCAATCTTTTAAATGCCTTAAAAATCTAAATGTAATTAGAACATTTATTTCTTCTGTTAACATACTTCTTTTGTCCACGTTCTTCCAACCCCAGAAGAAATGCTAGGGAAGTGGACACAAGCTTTACAATAAAGACAGGAGGCTTTTGTCTTCTCTTCACTGATATGGGAGATGGGATGGCAGTGGACTCTGTTGGGATTTAGGAATTAGCATCTAGGAGTTCAAGGAGAGGGAGAGTGAGACGTCTCAGCCCTCAGCAAATGCCTTCAAGGAAAGTGTTTTTTATTTTGGAAATGGTGATTTTCTTTCTTTGTTGCACAGGGCCTCCAGGTGGAGAGAGTGGTGAAAACACATTCCCTTCCTTCTCTTACTGCAGGCACTTAGGAGTAACTCTGTGCTCTCAGAGGCATTTTGCTCTATCTGCTGTTGAGTCATGTGTTGTCTTGTCTGACTAGCCCCGAGCAGGCCGCCTTCTGTCACTGGTCCCCATGTTTCCTGTGGATCTTGGCGGACTTGGAAGTAGAGGGATTCTGTCACCTCTGCAGCAGGGCAGGATGGGAGCTCAGAGAATGCTGCTGTTGAGCTGGTGGCAACAGTGGCTCTTTGTGTGGCTGCCTTGGGTCCCCTCCCTTCCATCTCCATTCCAGCCTGGCATTGAATGAGGGAACTGTGCCTATGCGAGATTTTGTCTTTTCCAGTGGCACACTGAGTCAGGGTGATGTAGGGGTGGAAAAAATTGACCATGGAATGTGGAAACATGACATACTGGTTTTACTGCCTTAAACTGAAAAAGTGCTGTGTTACCTTGAGTGCCAGGGAAAAAGCCAGCAACCGCTGTTTTCTCTTGTGGAGGTGGGTGTGGAGCTGCCTGACCCCTCCGTGTCTATGGAGGCTGCACTAGCAGGAGAAATCCTCGTTAGCCCAGAACCGAACGTGGAATAGAGGAAGCTTGTATTTATGTCCCCTCTTATTTTCAGTGAAATAAAGATTCAAAAGATTTGGCAGATTTCGTCCTTGGTCACAGTTCTACCAATAGGAGCATTCACTCCTATTCATAAGGACAGACAAGCCACTGAGCTTTTTTTTGAGATGATGCTAAACAATCCGAGTTCCTTTTAACCTTTTCCCAGAGGTCTTACAAGCTGCACTCAGAGCTTTGTTATTCTGTTACCATTCCTAATGTGCTTTGCATTAGTCTCCAGGGAAGGAATCTACTGGCTGCATGCTTATTCCTGCTGTGAGCCAGCAGGTGACCCAGGCCCAGCCAGGGCAGAGGTGGAGCTGGCCCAAGCAGCCCCTCCTGGGACCAGGCCTCCACCCCCGGCCCTGCTGCTTCTGCGGCTCATTCTCACCTCTGCATTTCTTGTGGCCACTTGACTCCTGTTGACCTGAACCTTCATTGATTTTCACTTTGGTGCTTTTCTGTTGTTTTTTTCTATTGTAAAATGTATCTAGCATACATAAAATTGGCCATTATAACAGTTTTTAGGTATATAATTCAGTGGCATTAATTATAGTCTGTTGTGCAACTAACACCACTATCACCAAACAGAAACTCTGTAACTACTAAGCAGCTCCTCTCCAGTTTCCCTTCTCCCAGCCCATGGTAACCTCTAGTCTAGTTTCTGTCTCTAGAATGAAATATTATTTATCCTTTTGCATCTGGCTTATTTCACTTACCATAAAGTTTCTAATCTTTGTCCGTGTTGTATCGGGACTTCATTTTTAAGGCTAGAGAATATACCACATCTTACCTACTCATCTCTTGCATTGTTTCCATCTTTTGACTATTGTTAACAATGCTGCTGTGAACGTGGATGTACAAATATCTGTTTAAGTGCCTGTTTTCAATTCTCTGGGTTCTCCCTAGGAGTGGAAGTACTGGGTTGTATGGTAATTCTACATTTAGATGAAGTGTTTGTCACAGTGTTTGCAATATTTTTTTAATTTTTATTTTTTGGTGGCTGGCTGGTATGGGGATCCGAGCTCTTCACCTTGGTGTTATAACACCGTGCTTTAACCAACTGAGCTAACCATCCGGCCCTGTTTGTACGATTTTTACCAGCAATGCATGAGGGTTCCAATTCACATCCTCCCCAACACTTAATTTCCATTTTTCTGATGATATCCATACCAGTAGGTGTGAAGTGGTATCTCCTTGTGATTTTCAGTATTTCTGTTTGTGTATTTGTCTGACTCTAAAGAACCTTAGGAAATACACTTAACTCCTCCAAATCTTAGATTCTTCTCCCTATAAATAAGGAATCTGGCCCAGCTCTGTGTTCCTGACTGCATGGGAGATTCACCTGGGAGCTGTGACATGGTCAGGTGTCTGGGCCCTGCTTTGGAGATTCTCATTCTGTGGATCAGGAGGAGGACACATGTTTTCTTTCAAAGCTCCCCAGGTGATGTCCTGAGAATCACTGAGCCAATTTTTTCTCTAAACTCTTCTCTGGCCCATGACATAGGTGTGTCCCTGAGGTTCGTGATGTCTGTGAGGAGGTGGCCGCTGGGATCCACTGTCCACGTGGATAATAGGCCAGCTGTGTTTTGGCACATTTACAGTGAAGATTATGGTTGCTCTGTGCATTAAAAACATCTGATTAAGATCTAAAGAAGTAGCCTGTATTTCTAGAAGTGCTGTTTGCTCATTTGCTAATTAGAAAAATTGAATAACTAACAGTGGAGTTTCCTGTCCAACTAAATTAATGGATGCTCCCAGAGGATCTTCTGGAATCCTGATGTGTGACCACGTTATCTGCTAGGCTATTAAGTGCATCATGGAAGGGCTGGCGGATCCAGATGTGAGAACAGGGCACCGTCTTTCACTTTATCAGAGAGCTGTGCGCCTGCGAGAGTCTCCAAGCTGTAAAAGGTACACGCATCTCCTCCATCGGCTACCAGAAATGAGCGTGGGAGACGTGAGGCACGTAAGTACATATCCTTCCAACGCTTTGGACTTAAACCCATTCACTTGGGCTTTTTCTGGCTGGAAGCAAGCTAGGATGGTTTTGGGGGCATATCTTCTTTTAGACTTGGAACACCCCAGAGCTCATTTTGGACAGTGGCATGGCCACTGCCCCCATCTTCATCCTGACGCCTGGGCTGGCTGGTTTGATCACACCCTGGGTGGAGTGACACAACCCCTGAGTAGGGACTCATGGCATCTGCCAGTTTCACCTGCTAGTCAGGGGCCTAGACGGCAGCCCTGGTGGCAGATGCCGTCCCAGGGCCGGGACAGTGAACTGTCACATCCTCGTAGGTGTGCAAGCGTGGGCCACATGCCGTGCGCTCTGCTGAGTGGCTGGCTTTGGGGTAGGAAAGCTCATCCTCAGGACACTGCGGGTGGGTTTCCAAGGAGTTTCGCTGGAGCGAGGCTGACAGGCGTTCTTGTGCTGCCATCCCAGGTGACCATCACGGGCAGGCTGTGCCCGCAGCATGGGATGGGCAAGTCTGTGTTTGTGATGGAGGCCAGGGAGGCTGCCACCCCCACCACGGTCCTGTGCTCTGTGGAGGAGCTGGCGCTGGCCTATTACAGACACAGTGGCTTTGACCATGGTAAGCAGCAACTTTTCTCCCATCCCATCCATCACCACATGGATGGACAGTGCTGCATGATGGATGGTTTGTCAGTAATGGGTTTCTGTTATCTCTCTGTCCTCTCCCACAGTAGAAGACACTGCTGCTGGGGGGGTGTGGGTGGAAAAGGAGTTTACTAAGTAGAGCATTTAAAGGTGGTCTTCCCATTCGGTCGGTATTCACCCCCTAGCACCCACGAGGAACAGCGCTGTCCAGTGGGAGGTCAGAAGCAAGCGAGGCCATTTTTGCTCTCAGCTTGTTTTGGGCTTGGGAAGGGACACCAGAGAGGCTGCCTGATAACAAGCTGCTGGAGGAGCCGAGGGCTGGGATGTCCTGAGGGGGTGAGCAGGCCCCGAGTCAGGTCACAGCTTTGAGGAGATCAAAGGAGCAAGGCCGGGGATGCCAGCATCAGTGGAACCAGAGGAGCTGCGAAAAAGAGCAGCGATTGGAATCCCTTGTAAAATGAGCTCTCTGCATCCATCTGAGGGAGGGGAAAGGACGTCAGTAAGAATCAGAGCTCTTCCCAGCTTCCTTTCCAGTGACTCTGTGGGGTCTCCCCTGCCCCTCCTGCACCATCTTTGCTGGTGCACTCCTGGGGGGCTGGGACCTCAATGTAAAGCAGTGGCATCGTTGATGGAAATGCAGTCAGTAGGAGAAAAGCACCACTGGTTTCCACGAGCCCAGCATCTCTTCTGCCTTTCACTTTCTTTGGTTTCTTTTTTATTGGTGGGAGAGGAAGGCCTGGGTGTGCACACGTGTGTGTGTGCACTAATGCACATGTGTGAACATGTCTGTTGTGTGTGTGTCCGTGTGTACGTGCCTGTGCAGTGCAGGGGCAGGTGGTCTTGTGCCTCTTGAGCTTGAGCGTGACTTTGTTCCTTGAGCTGCTGAGACGCTTTTGTTTCTTTAAACCAGAAGTGCACAGGGACCACAGTCAAGGTTGCCTCCAATCCTGTTTTCACAGGGGGTTAATCTGTATTCCTTGGTGTCTTCTTGGTTTTGAATTTTGTTGGTTTCAGAGGCCATTTTCTGAAATGTTTAGAGCCCAAGTCAGAATTCTGGGAAGTTTCGAGAATGGGAGTCCTACGGCTGTAAGCTTAGAGTCATAGTAGCTGTTGCAGGGTAGAAAGGAGGGCTGGTGAAGGTGCCTAGCATCTGCTTATTGGCATGTAAATGTCCAATAGTGAGAAACCCATGTGGCATGCAGCTGAACTCAGCAGCTGAGAGAAACTGAACACATGTCCCCTGGCCATGGAGAGGGAGGCTGCACGCCAGCCTCGACAGACCCGGACCCTAAATCCTGTGCCTCATCTCCCCGCAGAGCCGGGCACCCCCTGCCTCCCTGCTTGTGAGTGCTGGGAGCTGGCCTCGAGCCCCCACCTTCTGCCCGACCTATGTGCTGGCCTTACAGGGTCAACCAGGTCCTTCAAGTCATGACAGTCTGCTGATGTTGTCCTCAGAGGGTCTGTACCTGCGGAGTGAGCTTCTATGTATGTGGCCAGGTGGGGCTGAGAGAGGAACTGCACATGGACTACAACAGAGGCCATATTTGGGGGTGGGACTTGGCCACTGAGCATAACCTGAGTAGACACAGAGGAGTTTAGAACCTGCTCAGCCCCTCCTCTGACAGTTGCATGGTTGGCATGGGGCCTTTTGTGCCATCTGTGGATTTGCAGTGTAATGCTCTTCTTAGAGGGTCTTCGTGTGCACAGGGACAGCTGAGGGCAAGGACCCTCTCTGGGGAAGGGTCCCTGGCTGCCCTCCCAGAAGTGTGGCCCAGTCCATAGACTACACGTGTCATGGGTGGACCCTGCGAGTGCAGAGGGCTGTGTGTTTGCTCTTTTTGTGGCTTCTTTAAAAATGAGAGATGCTCTGGATGTCTCTGTTGTAATGTGGTAAGCCTAGCAGTGAACGTTTTGTTTTTAAATAGTTGACTCATCTCTTTTGTCAGTTGGAAGTGGCTTGTGTTTGGGTATTTATCAACCTGAACTTCTCTTCCTCTCTTTTACTTTCTTGGCTTTTGGTTTCAGGATGAACTATCAATTCCATGCTTTATCTAAGGCCTAGGCTCAAGAACAGACTTATTTGCCTTATAACTGGTAAAATGAAATTGTCACTCTTGACCCTTAGTAAAATGTAGAACTGAGCAGAAAAAGTAAGAGCAGGTAACAAGAGAGGCAGCTCCTCTTTGTCTTATCAGAGACGAGGTGTGGCACAGGCCTCTGTCCTGGAGACACCTCAGAGTGGCTCCAAAGTTCTCCTTTTCAAAATGTTTTTGTGATGGAAGACAGCGCACATGCCTTTGTACCGTGGAGAGGATAGAATGCTGGAGCCCATGAACCTACCCAGTTCCATACGGCCTTCCTTCTGTCCTCTCCCCCTCCCTCCCCCCAGACATGATCTCAGGGTGCTGGCTGTGTGCACATGTGGGTCCCTCCCAGGACACCCATCGAGTCCTTCTGTCCTCGTGTCTAGGTTAGGCAGGACTCCCTTCCCTGCACCCGTGCTCTAGGGCTACTGGTGTTAACAACATGCTGATATCTTCAGATGTGTGAAAGTCAGGACATGATTTCACTTCAGTGTCATGTGAGTGGTCAGAAGACCAATGAGGACCATCAGAGGACAACTGCCAGGTACGATTTTACAAAATCCAGGTTCCCTTCTGGTGAGCATTAGGATTAGTCTGCATGGTATCTTTACCACTTACAGGGAGGGTGATGCCATCAGGGAAGAAGTGCCAAGTCCAGCGAGGACACAGTTAGGACAGTGGGTCAGAAGGCTAGACACGAAGACTGGAGTGAAAGTCCAGCCCCAGAGGATGCGTCGCAGAGGATGTGGACCCTGGGTGGGGCAGAAGCGGGAGCAGGCGCTGTGGCCCAGGGGGCAGACTGGGAGCCAAGCATTCTGAAATGCTTTCAGTTGAGCCATGAGCCTGCAAGACAGACACAACTCCTTTCCCAGAGGGTAAAATTTTTTTTTATGTGAAATACTTTTCATTTATTAAAATTAGTGCAGTGAAAGTGAGCTGAACCCTTGCTGCCAGGCTTTGTTCCAGAGGGGCGTTTGTGTCAGGGCACTCACAGACCCCCTACAGGCACAGCTATTTCTGAGTTACTCAGAAAGATCCCCCCCCCAAAGCGATTTCACTTCTAGTAGGAACGCATAGCGCACACAACTTAGGAATTCAGGAGTGACCTGACCCCGTGTTCACACAACTTAGGAATTCAGGAGTGACCTGACCCCGTGTTCGTCACTGAACAGTGTACACACCAGGACAGAAAGCTGATGAGAGATCAAGCCCCAGCTTTATTCCTGGCGCGCAAGAGCCCAGTACCCTGGCACAAAGCTTTCTAGTAAAAGTTAGAGGACTTGGCTGCAACCAGGACACTTGTGTCCTGTTGTTCCTTCTGCTGTCCTTTTGAATCATGGAGACAGGCTGCAGGGACAAGGGGCTAGAATTGAGAGGGGGACAGACAGAGAGAGCCCAGCACAGCCTCAGGGATACAGGCCATGGGAGCTGGCACACACTGCTCCTTGTGGAGGGCAGGTCTCTGTCCCATGTGTCCTTTCAAGTGACACAGGGTGAGCAGGAAGCCCTGTGCAGACGAGCTGTGGCTGACTGGCCTCTGCTTTTACCCCTTCTCACTGTGGCCTCATACACAGGTGGAGTGGGGTCTGTGTGTAGCAGGGGAGATCAGCCAGAGCAGCTTTTCTGCTAGCGTCGTGGGTGTGTCAGGACAGGCCCTGGTGGCCGGCACCCTCTTGGCTATGGCAGTAATGTGGGGAGTTGTCCACACAGCCACCCTGGTCAGGTGCAGAGAAGCCTGGCTTAGAGAGAAGGCCTAGGGAGCTGGGGCTCGCTCAGGTACACAGGCCTGTGTGCTGTGCCATGACCTGAGCCCTTCGTCCTGCTCCAGACTCTGCCTCTGGCTCTTTGTATGGCCTTGGGCACTGATTTCTCCCTCTGAAGTTGGCTCCCAACCAGGACGATGTGTGTGTGATGTGCGGAGGCACAGCCTGAAATAGATGCCCTTTAAGGCCAAAGGTGGTGTGAAAGCCCTGAGTGCTGGGAACACTGGGAACACGGCTCAGGCCAGAGCATGTGATGCTCGGGTGAGTGAGGTGCGTGGAGACAGCGCCTGCTACGTTCAGGGGCGTGGGGTAGCTGCTGCCAGCCCTCCTCCTGCCAGATCCTCTCGGGGAAGTGTTTTTTCAGGGGTGGCTGAGGGGACACCTGCACCAGAGCTCGCACGGGGACTCTGCACTCAGCCCGGACACTAAGTCACACCCTCTGGAGCCTGAGGAGGGAATCAACTTTTTTTTTTTTTTTAAATATGTTTCTTAAGTTATTCACTAAAGTTTGAGAACCACTGCTTTGTGGCTTTGAAATATTCATTTGAGTTTTTCCATGGCTACTAAGATTTTTGCCCTTAAACAAAGCTTCTGTTTATAAACAGTATAGTATAAAAAATGGGCTAGGAACAGCATGAAAACAGCATTTGCTACTGAACCTAAAATATTCCTATTCTTTCCTTGAAATTAAATGTGCAGTAAGTTATGGTGGTGTTTTTGAAGAAACAGCTGGTCAGAGTGTTGTGCTGATAACACCTGTATGGGCGAGTTGCCAAAATAAACAAGACAAAACAGACAGGTAAAACTGATTTTCCCTGCGTGTGTGTGTGACTTTGTCGTAGGGATTCACGGGGAAGGGTCCACCTTCAGCACCCTGTGTGGCCTCCTCTTGTGGGATGTAATCTTCATGGATGGGATACCTGACGTCTTCAGAAACGCCTACCAGGTAACCCTGTGATGTGGACCGCGAGGACACTGTGCACGGTTGTGACTCCGCCCCACCTGTGTACTGCATGTCTGTTGCTGTCAGAGACTTGTCTCTGTTAAGGTCTTTTGGGTCATCCACACCTCACATTGCTAACTCCACTGTAAAAATAGCTTAAACTCTGATTGGTAGAATTTCAAAGGTAAGGATGTTAAGTTTTAAATGTTGTCTACCTGCAACATTGCATTTTATACTTTCAGTACAAAGTGCCTTCAGCTTCAGCCTTCGCTGAGCACCTGCATGGCCCAGCCACTGTGCCAGGGGCTGTCACATACATTATCACATGGGCCTGCTGAGAGGTCTACCGATTTAAGCTAAAAAAAAAATTTTTTTTTTCAAATTCTTACTAAAAAAAAACAGTGGAATAAATTGCTTTTATAACAGATTACATATACCAGATAATTTTTACATGTCTGTTGAAGGAAAGGATGTGTTAACCAATTGGTCAGTTTCCAAGTTTTGTAGGTACCGAATATTCTTCCGATTAACCCAGCCCTCTCCAGGCACGGTATGAGAGCTTGCTTTTGCTGTGACACAGGCCTTCCCACTGGACTTGTACACAGACAGCTTCTTCACAAGCAGGGAGCCAGCCCTTGAGGCCAGGCTGCAGCTGATTCACAGTGCCCCTGCCAAGAGCCTGCGAGCCTGGGTGGCAGCTGCATGGCAGGCCCAGGAGGGCAGAGTGGCTTCCCTTGTCAACTGGGATCGCTTCTCTTCTCTTCAACAAGCTCAGGTAATGGTTTACCTGCATGGCAAGATTTGGTCACAAAGTAACACCTCCCCAGTGCTGGGTGTCTTTTTGGCAACTGTATCAAAATACATGTGCACACACATACATACATAGGAGTACGTGTATATATATTTACATATATATGGATAGATACGTTTGCACTTGTAAGATATATGTGTGCATATGTTAATACCCCATCCCCCAGCCCAGATGCAACTGTTGGTGATGAAAACATGTTATGGCATTAAAACAGCTTGTTATGCCTTTTCTACACCTGAGTTAACAGCTTCCTTTGGCTTGACCTGTGGACCCAGCAGATAGGACCCCTTCTCTGTCCCACAGCTGTTGGCCTCTGTGTCACTGCTGTCATAGTCCTGAGTTCTTACTCCAAAGTCCTCCCTTATAAGCTCCCCAGGATTTCCATACTGGGCAGAAGTCTGATAACTGACGAAAAGAGAACTGATTTCCCAGAGCTTGCCAGTGGGAATTTTAGGTTTTTCTCTGTCTCACAATCACTTGAGCCTATTCAGTGCCTGTCACAAGGACAGTGACTAACTCCATATGTTTTGTGTTCAGGATCTTGTCTCCTGCTTGGGAGGCCCTGTCCTCAGTGGTGTGTGCAGGCGCCTGGCTGCTGACTTTCGACACTGCCGAGGGGGCCTCCCTGACCTGGTGGTGTGGAATTCCCAGAGTCATCGCTTTAAGGTTAGTAGAGCCAGAATGGAAAGTCTTATTTGTAATTTGATTAGCAACTAAATCAGAGGCCACATTCTAGGCATTTCTTGCATGGCTGTTGGCAAGATCGAATTTCTCCTAGCTATGGGGCTGAGGGCCTAGCTCCTGTGGCCTTGCACCAGGCCACTCACCACGAGGCAGCTTGTTTCACTGGAGCAGGCGAGTGAGGAAAGAGAGAGTGTGAGCAAGACGAAGTCACAGTCTCTTAGAACTTGATTGTGGAAGTGATATCTCATCAGTTTTGCTGTATTCTATTGTTAGAAACAAGTCTTGCCCACACCCAAAGGGAGGGCATCACATGGGCCATGGACACCAGGAGCTCCTTTAGAGGAACCCGAGAATGAGCGTCTCCTTAAACGCTGTCTGCCGGGCCACACTGGCCTCACCCTAGCCCAGCACTGGGGCTTTGTTTTGTTCTCATTGAGTTCTGTGATTTTTAAAAAAATTATATATTCTGGATGAAAATCCTTTATCAGTTATATTTCATCCCAGCCTGTGGTTGGTCTTTTCATTCTTTTAACAGTGTCTTGAAGAGCAGAAGTTTTAAATGTTGTGGGTGAACTTAGAGAAAATCATTAAGTGAAATAAGACAGGCACAGAAAGAGACATGCTGCATGTCCTCACTCATAAGTGGGAGCTAAAAAGTAAGCAAATAAAAAAAGAAAGATACAACAATGAATAATTTGTTGAACTTTCTAAAGGAGAGAAAAGAACTGAGGTTACCAGAGGGGGGAGGGGGAGGGGGGCAAGGGAGGAATTGGCAAAGGGCCACAAGAAACGATATATTGTTGAATATTCTAATTATCCATATCACATATCACATGTATTGATATTCAACTCTGTACCACACAGATCAGTACAATCAGCTGTTTTAAGTTTTAAATCTTGACAAAGTCCAGCTTACCTGTTCTTTAACAGATCATGCTTTTGGTGTGTTATGTCAGAAATACTTGCCTAATTCGAGGTCACAAAGAGTTTCTCCTATGATTTCCTCTGTAAGTTTAATAATTTTAGGTTTTATACTTAGTTGTGTGATCCATTTTGAGATGTTTTTTGTGTACAGCGTGGGGCATGGACTGAAATTCTGGGTGGGGACATCCAGTTGCTTTGGGGCCTTTTGTTGAAGCCTGTACTTCCCCCACTGAACTGCCTTTGCCTCTGTCAAAAATTAGTGACCACATATGTGTGGGTCTGTTTCTGGACTCTCCTCTGTTCTGTTGTTCTGTCTCTATTACTTGATTATTGTAGCTTTCCGTTAAGTCTTGCAGTCAGGTAGTATCAGCCTTCCAACTTTGCTCTTCTTTTTAAAAGTTGTTTTGGCTCTTCTGTGTCTTTTGCATATTTATTTGAATTATAAAATCAGCTTCTCAATTTCTGGGGGGAAAAAAACCTACTGGGATTTTACTTGGTATTGCTTTGAGTCTGTAGATTAATATGGCAAGAACTGGTATCCTAACAGTATTAAGTCTTGATCAATGAACATAGTGTCTTTCCATTGAGTTAGATTTTAAAAAAATTCTCTCAGCAATTTTTTTAGGTTTCAGCCTTGCATATCTTTTGGCAGATTGATCCCTAAGTTTTTCATATTTTTTTTTTGATACTTTTTAAATTGTATTATTATTTAAAATTTAAATTTCCAGTTGTTTGCTGCTACTATATACAAATACAACTCTTCTGTAAATTATTGAGAGGATATGGACATTATAACACTAAGTGTGGATTTATATATCTCTTCTGGCATTTCTATCAATTATTTGCTCTATATATTTTGAAATTGTGTTATTAGATGCATTTTTACAATTGTCATATCCTCTTGATAAATTGATCTTTAATCATTATGAAATGACCTTTCTTTATTCCTTGTAATGTTCTCTTAAGTTGACTTTGTCTGACATTATTTTTAGCCACTCCAACTTTCTTTTGATTAGTGTTATAATACATCTTTTTCCATTCTTTTAATCTATTTTACCCTTATATTTAATGTGAATTTCTTGAAGGAAGCATATAGTTTGGGTCTTACTTTTGAATCCAACTTAACTACCTCTGCCTTTTAACTGGGTGTTTGGAACATTTACATTTAATGTGATTATTGAAATGCTTGGCTTTAAATCTTGGTACTTGTTTTCTATTTGTCTCAGCTTTGTTCCCCTTTCCTGTTTTTCTGCCCCCACCCCCCCTTTAATTAAAGATTGCATTTTATACCTTCATTGGCTTGTTAGCTATAACTCTGTTGTGTTTAAGTGGTTGCGTTAGTGTGTGCAGTGTATATCTTATTGCCTACCTTCAAGTGACATACAATTTCATGTATAGTATAAAGAACATTTCAGCAGTGTAGTTCTATTTCTCCCTTCCCAGCCTTTTTGGTGGTTTTATAGGTCTCCATTACAAGTTCTAAATCTGTAACACATTATTTTTGTTTTCTGCAGTTGATTAATAGGAGTCTCCATATTTACTCATGTAGTACCAATTTCAGTGTTTGTTATTGTTTTGTATAGATCCAGATTTCCATGTGATATTCTCCTGCTTGAAGAATTTCCTTTAACATTTCTTGAGGTGGAGGTCTGCTAGTAATGAATTACTTAGGTTTTGTATGTCTTAAAAAGTCTTTATTTCACCTTTGTTTTTGAAAGATATTTTCTCTAAGCAAAAACCTGTATGGTGAACAGTTTTTTTTCTTTCAATACTTTAAAAATATTAGTCCATTGTCTTCTAGCTAGCAGTTTCCAATGAGAAATGTATCTTTTCCCTCTGGCTTTTAAAAATTGTGGCTGCATTTAAGATATCCCCTTTATTGATGATTATACAATTTAATTATGGTATTTCTTAGTGTACTGTTATTTTCTGTGCTTAGGGTTGAGTTTCTTGGATCTTTGGGTTTATAATTTCATGAAGTTTGGAACATTTTTGGCCATTATTTCTTCAAATATTTTTCTCCCCTTTCCTTTGGGGACTCTAATAAAACATCTGTTAGGCTGCTGAATGTGTTTGTTAAAATTTTTTTTTCTATACTTCACCTAGGATAGTTTTTAATGCTGTCTTCAAGTTCACTAATGTGCAGTGAACAACACTAACACCATACCATCCCTGCCTTCATGAAGATGATAAACAGTTTAATCTTATGATAAATGCCATGAAAGAAGTGCATAGAAAGGATTCTACTTAAGAGATATGGTGGACCACTCTGAGATCCGTTTAAGCTGAGCATTGAAAGATACATCAGGCATGTGAAGAACTGGGAGAAATGTCCTAGGCAGAGGGAGCAGCAAGTAAAGGGAAGGCCCTTAGGTAGGGAAGAGATTGGTCTCTTCCATGAACTGAAAGGAGGCCTTGGTCGGCAGGAGCCAAATCCTACAGTTTTGTAGGTCACAGCAAGAAGTTTAGATATAATTGCAAATATGACAAAGTAATTTGAAGGTTTTAGGCAGGGAAGTAGCAATCCAGTGCATGCTTTAAAACAATTTTCAATTGCTGTACTAAGAATCAATTTATTAATTCTCTGTGAAGAACTGTCTAGTTTCTACAGAATGGAAAACTTCTCAAGGAATTTAACTATGTGTATGTCTTATTATATATATACTGTGTTATATATATATAAACACAGTGGTGCAGTAGAATAACCCATTGAAGTAGTTGTTAGGGAAAACTACTATAGCTTATTTGGATGGCTATTCAGGTTTCAGTAAGATACTGATAATTTTTAAAACTTACCTTCCAGCTGGTAGAAGTTAAAGGCCCCAGTGATCGTCTTTCACAGAAGCAAATGATCTGGTTGGATGAACTGCAGAAGCTGGGGGCTGAAGTAGAAGTCTGCCACGTGGTTGCAGCTGGAGCTAAAGGCAAAGGCCTTGGCTAAGATGGTCATATGTTGATGTAAGGTTTTTAAAAGTGTAGAACATCACTACATTTTATTTAATTCTGATTTTGTTATTGTCAATTATAAAACTGACAGTTTAATGACTCATTTAAAGTGTCTGTATCACAAAACTTGGTATTCACTTTAATACACTCATTGATGCCACACAATAGGTAATGAACTTTTTAAAAGGTCAAAACCTGGGCCGGCCCGGTGGCGCACTGGATAAGTGCGCCACTTGGGAAGCGCGGCGGCGCTCCCGCCCGAGGGTTCGGATCCCACATACAGACCGGTTCCCGCTCACTGGCTGAGCGAGGCGCGGGGGCAACACCGAGGGTTGCAATTCCGTTGCCGGTCCCCGGTCCGGTACGGGGGCAACACTGAGGGTTGCGATCCGTTGCCGGACACGGAAAAAGACAAAAGACAAAAAAAAAAAAGTTCCCATTAAGAGATACAAATAAAATGATAAGTCTAATATTTGTTTTAAATTATTCCAGCAAAAATGTTAAAAAGGAGAGGGAGAGTAAATTTAATAGAAATGGCAAAATATGAATAATTGTTCAAGCCAGAAGATGGTACAAGGAAGCTCATATATTCTCTCCACTTTCGTGAATGTTTAAAAACTTCCATAATGAAAGTTTGAGCTATTCTTTTAACTTCCACTAGACTGAAAGCTCTCTGAAAGCAGTGATCATGACTGGTTCACCACTGTACACCCAGGGCCCAGCGTAGGGGCTCAACAATTGCTCAAATGAGGAGTTCATAATAAAGTGGGCTAAACTGTCAATCCAGTGGGTCTGGGTGCTCAAAAAAAAAAAAAAAAAAAAAAAAAAAAGGTCAAAACCTTGGTGGCCATTTTAGGAGCTGGATTTGTCTGTGTTAAGTTAGACTTACAAAAAAGCTGGGAAAAAAGCCCCCAAAACAAACAGGTAATGATTCACCTCTTTAGGTCTTTTACAGAAGTAACATAAACAATGTTTCTAATATATTGGAAATGGAGATTCTTGAATTTATCTAAGCTTTTAACATTTAGCTGTTAAACATCCTTGTTTTATGATTATCCAAGAAGGGCAGAAACAGTTGAAATTCTGACTTCTTTAGGAATTAAAAAAACAAATCCTCATGAAGTTGCTCAACTTATGGCACCCGTGAATGTTCACGCTTACCACTTGGGCCTGGATCACCAAAGGAATGAGTAGTTTTTCTCAGAAGCAGTTGTCCCTTACCGTCCTTCTCTTTAGAAGCATCACTGAAAACTAGATTAGAGGGAATTTTCTGTATTGACAGTGTAATTAAAACAGGGCTGCTCATCACTTCTGGGGCTCAGGCTGGGGAAGGGGAGGAGTAGGAAGGTGATTTATCTGAATAGCAGACCCAGGAATCAAGGACCAGGGTCCCAGTCTTCCGTCAACTCCTTCCAGACCTTCTTGGGGAAACATTACTCTCCAGTTTTTGTACTTATTGAAAGGAAGGACCAGTTAGGACATGCATGGCCCATTCATACCTACATGGCTGTAACTATAGCCACTTCTGTACTGATATTAAAAATGTTATTGATCATTACCTCATCTTAGAGGGCAAGCAAACAGTCGCATGGGTGACACACAAGTACAGGTGGGAGAAGATGCCTTCACCTCTTCAGTCACTATGTTCTTGTAGATCAATTCACAGTGATAACTACAGCAAACAATTTCTGTGGAAATTTTATTTAGCAGTCAAAATTTCCTTCACATTCATTATTGTTGAACAAGATATCTCATCTTCCTGCTTATCCTACTTTAAAGTCATCAGTTTTAGGCACAAAGGTTTTAGTTTTCTCTCAAAATCAAGTTTTATCTACTTGATCACTGCTATAGCAAGCAAATTCTGTTGAAGGATGTGATGAACAGTTTCCACCCTCTGTTAGTAGAAATTAATATCCTTAAATAAGCTTAGACATTTTTGGTTTTAAATTGGCTTCCATCATAAAATAACAGTAAGACGCTGTACATTTTTAAGTTCACACTACACAGTCCAACGCTGTCTGGCGTTGCATGGCATTCCATCAGCACAGGCTCCGCTCACAGGGCCCTGGGGACCGTGAGTGTCCAGCTCTTTCTGGTACACTATATGCAGCCACACTTGCCACTTCTGTCACCAGTGTCCTTTCTGTTAGCAGAGGTACGAAGCAGCTTTATGATGGCCTGACTTAAGGCTGTTACAGTTGTTTTTCATATTATGCATGATAAACCGTGGCACAATAATCATGATATGACAACTCCCCAGCAAAAATGTAAAAAAAACATATTTTGCTACATTTGATTATCATATAAAAATATGCACTTTTCTATTTTAAAACTATTAATAGTACCTCATCTTTTTAAAACATGTAAATTATCAAAAAATGTTATTAAAGGAGTTGAAATAATTATGTGAGGGAAGAAAGTTATAGAGAAATAAATGCTCAATCCAAAAAATAAATTTAGAACAATCTGTAATAATAATAAGGCAGCTTAATGAAAAAGGGAGAAATATTATTACACTTTCAGTGGCAGGATATGCTGTGGTGTTTTAAGGGGATCAGAGCTGGTTTCCAATCAAGAACTATAAAATATTTAATAACAATAATGCTATTTGTATAAACTGAAAATAGTCCTTATTTTCCAGGCAATAAGTTGGCAAAAACATTGGGTTTATACACAAGATGAATTTCCTAAGACATTTTATAAAAACTTCTGTCTTGTTAAATCCATTATCAAACAATTTAAAAAGGCAAATAATTCAAATAGAAATAGCTATTCAGTACATATAAAACACGTTATCTTGAAAAAACCTGTTTTAGAAAAGGAAATAGCCAACTATATTACTATAAAAATTTTCAAAATCTTAAGATGGCAGTTTAAGAAACTTTAACATAGTCAAATTTGAAAATGTCCATCTTTTAAACAGGGAAAGGGGTGGGGGTGTGGTGGTGCTAAATATCACTGCCATAAAAAGCTTAAGCTTTGACCCCCCCACAGCATTAGCTATGATGTCATAGGTTGAAAACAAGGTAGTTTTAGGAATTTAGGAATAGTTCACTATTTATTAAAATGGCAGTATTTTGAGAGAAGCCCATTTTTATTCCTTCTTTTCTCTCTTCCTAAGTGTTAATAACCCTCAGAGAGAAGGGACTTCTGTGTAGGTGCCCTGACTTGTGACCTCAGTAGTTATTTCCAATGGGAAGCACCAACAATAGGTTACTACACTGGAAAGGTGACAGGAAAGCCCACACCACTTCCAGGCAAGCCGTCTGTGTTTGAGTCTGGGTTTCAGTGTAGACAGCACCCTCCTGTCTGTGGCGCTCACCTGCCGGATGGAGCTGGGCTACCTCTGCCACAAAGGCAGCCTGAGACTCTCAGAATCAGCTCCCCACAGGTTGCTTTGTCCTCTGGATTTCAGAGGGGCAAAAATGTGGCTTTGGGGACTCCTTGCTATTGGTTTGAAGCTTAGTCCAAAAAACTTATTTGCAATATGCAGTGATATTTTAACACCTTAATTTTAAAAGGTGGAATTATATTCTCCTCTGTGTTATTCCATACCTTAATATTAGTGTCAAAGGCACTTCTAAGTTTAATTACATTATCTCCAGCAAATGCTTCAAAATTAACAGTGCATATCATTTTAAAGCTAGTCCTATGAGGTTAAAAGCCAGCTCATGATTTCAAAACACAGTAATCTAAAGTCCCTCCTAAACAAGGTGATCTAAAATAATAAATTTTGGCCTCGGAACACTGAAAGCTCACCAGGTGAGTTCAATTAGAAATAACAGAAAGTTACCAGAAAAATACATGAATACCTAGGAAAGCCTTGGGGGGGTTTTACTGAATGTTGCTGGAAGTATACTAAACACTAATTTCTTAAGTTTCCTAGTGTCTGCTCCTTTGGGCTGCTAATCTTAGTATAAATTAATCTTTTAGGTGGTAGGAAAAATGGACGCAGACAGAACAAATGTAGCAGACAAAACCTGGTTAGTTTGATCACAGTTACAAGGATGGGGGGAATGCTTGCCTGCATATCACTTTAAAATGAGCTAGATCAATGATGACAGAAAGAGGACATAAAAAGCAAAATTTACATCTTTTAAAATAATTGTGAAGGAAGCATGATTCAACATATTTTTAAATATGAGTGTGAATTTCTATTATTCTTATATATGCCTATGGTTAGCAATTTTAATTCAGAAAAATAAAATTACAGCTTCCCTCAAAATGTTCAGAAAATACTACATTTTAGTCTTCATTTGCTAGTGTCTCAGTAGATAACCATATTTTGGCCCCACTTAAAAATTTGCTTAAAGGCGTTCCTAAAATGCTTCGTCTGCACAGATTCCCTACAGGAGAAAACGGAAATGAGGAGGAGAGAAAATCTGGTGTCCCCGAGGTGCTATGCGGGCCACTGGCTCTGAAGTACAGCCTGCTCTGGCCCAGCTCCGCATAGCAGGCTTCCAAAGGGCCGCTGCACTGCTGCCGCACCATCCTGCTGAGCACGTCCACTTCATCAGCCAGGAGCGAGAGCTTGTGAAAGGCAGTGATGACACCCCCGAGGTTGATCTGAGCCTCGGGGACCCAGCGGAAGTAGCACAGTTTCCACAGTTTTATGTATGTTCCAGAGAGATGTGGCAGAATAACTCCGTGCAGGTTGACCGGTTTGGAAAACCATTCTCTAAAATACTGCTCCATATCACTGTTCTGGCTGTCAGTTTGCTGAATGGGGTCTGGCTTTAGTTTTAATATTAATGAATTTCTTCTTGGAAGTAATTCTTGGTCACCCATGAGTCCATTCTTTAAAGAAGATGGCATTCCTCTTAGTGTGGAGCTGTAGCTTTTCTGTGCAGAAGAGAGATTTCAGCATTATTTTCCTAGTGCTTCCCTCTTTCAGAAAGACTGTAAAGGTGCAGTGGCAAATACAAAATTAGCATTACAAAAAACTGATGCAATCTCAGTTCCCCAGAATATTTCCATTCTTTGTAGTGCTTAATCCTCCCCCCAGTAATTAAACTTTTTTAAAGGTGTTGACCACCTAGGCAATTACCGCCAGCCTGAATGGGGTAGGGAGGCGAGTGCATCCAATTCATTAACTTCCTTAAGTGCAACTTTCTAAGACATCTCGGTTAGGGAAAAATCCCCAGACCTGGGTGATTCTAGAAATAAGAATGGGCAGACTGGATGGGTTTCAGGAAACGGGCTCCCAGGCTCAGAGTTGCAGTGCTGATCAGGGCCTCATGGGCCTCAGACACCAAAACCAAACCTCGGGATACAGTCCTTTCAGTTACAAGGGGAATGAGCCCTTAGAAGTCTGCATGAGCAGTGTCACTGTGGGAAGTGACTTCACTTTTAATAGTATGTTCTGAAAAAAAGATGTGTGTGACCAAGATCCAACGCTCGATCCCTGTACCAGCCAGCCACCAAAAAAAAAAAAAAAAAAGAAAAGAAAAAGGCGTGTGGTTACGTGAGAACCAACATATTGTTAGTTGTAATTTACCTTTGTCCGTTTAAAAGACTTCACAGTGCCATTCTGTACACAAGGTGTGCTCTTTCCAATGTAGGAGGGGCTGTGGAAAAGGGTACGGTCCTTTGCCGTAAACTGAAGAGACCAGTCCCAAACTGAGGGGAATTTTAAGCCCTTTTCATCACCCAATTGGATATTTTTGCTTATAGCAAACTCCTGCAAAATAAAATATTTGAATGTTTGTAAAAAGATGCAAAACTAAAGATTTTCTCATGAGTTCCTTTTTCTGAGGAGCCATTCATCATTACACAGGCTGAACGTTCTGAACTAGAGCACTCAGAGCCCTCTAGAGCAGCACTTCCACTTCCAGGGAGAGGAGAGGTGTTCCTAGCCCGGGTGAGAGGAGGCTTGACTCTCTGCGGGAACAAGAGCACCGCCCCCTCTACACCCTCTGCGCAACAAGGGTGTCACTAAGACAAGCACAACTTCGCTAACACTATACACCAAGTCTTCAACGTGTCCAGGCTATTTTACAATTGCAGTATTTTATTCTTAGAAGGATGCAGTCACACATCTCAGCAGTTACCCATTGGTAAGTGGATTAATAAAATCTTTGGATGGAAATCACTGCCACCTGTTTTACAACTTATTTTCTAAGTGCACAGCCATACTTCACTTCTCTGGTGACCTTAAATATCTGGACCAAAGGCAGATCAACTGGCTTGAAGGAATCAACTCCCTTGTGGCCCTAGCATTTGGCCAAGACCACAAAAACCATGCAGCAAGGCGGGCCCACCTTGGGCCCCCACTATGGGCTGATATAGCCTGCTGACCCGGTTTCCCACCTCAGCAATCGAGGCAACACAGGGCTAAGGGGTGATAGATAGCCAACCACCTCACTGTGCAGAAGGACATGGAGTTCCTCTAAAAGGCAGACCAGACCAACTCAAACTATGCAGTCACATTCTGTGACATGGAGAAAGGACCCTTATCTTAGCCGACTGACAAAAGCAGGCTACCACAACAGCTTATATACCATAGTTTCCTGGAGGAAGTATTGCAAAATACTGAGTCTCTGGATGGTGGGAAATGATTGATTCTGACGAGTATTTGCTGTTCTGTACCTTTTCCTGTTTTCCAAATTTTCTACAAACAATAACAACAACAAAACAAGAATTTCTTTGGAAGTTATAAAGGTAAAGGGTAAACATTATTAGGAAAAAAGTACAGTAGCCAGGAGTCCATCACCACATCACAGCCAGGTGTGACAGCTAGAATCATCAAGAAATGGTTAAGCTATGTGACAGCACAAGACGTTTTTTTATTTTAAGTATGTAAAAATTCATTAAGTACCAAATATAGTTAAAAATATTTTTAGTTATTTGAAATTTCATCATACATGTACATGGATAAAAACAACCCATTTGCTTTAGAAAATAGTTTTGTTAAGAGTTAAAATCTAATAAAGCATAAACCCCAACCTGTTTTAAGGGCCCTGAAGGAAGTATATAGAAAAAACTCATATTTTTTTAAACGTGAAAGCTAAAAATATTTATCTCCAAGGAAGATCAGATTTTCCACAAACAGTACCTGACCACTACATTTAAGGTGGCTTCGGAATGGAAAAAAGAGGAAACGCCTTTGGATATGGCTGTGTGGGAGGGGCTGAGGACAGCAGTCGTGATGTGTTACAAATCACGACTCTTAGTGGCCAGTTCCCTGCTGGGAGGAAGAGAGCGAGGGACTCTTCAGCATTTGTCAGAAAAAGCCAAATTATGAAAATATAGCACTATATAACATGAAACAAGGAAAGCAGATGAAATACTTTTTAAAACTATTTGGTAACTTTTACTCTGATTAGAAATCTCTCTGTGGGCATACCTCAGCACATCCAGGATCCAGCCAAGAAGCAGCAGCAAGCAGTCAGTGTCTCTGGGGACCATCAGGTCCTGTGCTCAGATGCTCACTCACGCACTGCCAAGTCACTAGGACCCTAAAGCTTGTGTCCTCTTGTTTAACACTTAGAGGCTAACGAGGCTTTTGGCTCCTGAGGCTCAGGAACCTTTTGCAGGCTCACGCTGCCGGTGTGTGCAAGAGGGCAGGTGTGTGTAAAGGAGCAGGTGTGTGCATGGGGTAGTAAGGGGAGAATGGAGAAGAGAGCTAAGGGAGGCAAACAGCCAAGGGAAGGACTAGCTCTTGGTAAAAACAGGCACAAAAATGGTAGCAGTGAACGAGAAATGAAAAGAACTGGGAGACCATTTATTTTAGGAACAAAAAAGTCTTCCATGCCTCAGGAGCTTTTGAACCTATCACTGGTCCTCAGCACAGTATTTGGAAAGGTTAAATTATTTTAGGGAAGCATAGAGTATATTCTACAAAAATCTCCTTCCCAAGCTATTCAATCTAAAAACCCTCAGACAGTGTTGAGCTTCTCTGATCGAGGCGCCCCAAAAGCAGCAACGCTGAGCAAGCCCTACTGCCTATCGTGTTCTGAGAACTGAGTTCTGAGAGAAGACCTGCTTCCCCTCCCCATCGTGACTCCTGTTACTGCCTGTGAAATAAAACCCCAGCCCTGGTCCTTTTCTTTGGGGTGCTCCTCATTAATGCAGTTCTCCCTCCTGCAATAGCCTGAATAGAATCAGTTCCTTGACTGTCTACTACATTTTGTCTCTTATACCTACAATTCAGAACAACTCACATTTCTTTAGGACAATTGGCATAATGCTTCACAGTTTACATAATGTTTTCACTTTGCACAAGACCAAAGGCACACCTGTTAGTCTGATGGATCCATTTTACAGATGAAGATGCTAGGCTTACAGGCTTAAGCCTGAGAGGTATGTAGGCTGAGCATTTTTCCCAGGCCAGGGCAGAATTTAGATTTCCTGCCCCGCAGGCCTCGCTGTCTAGACCACGGCTTAATGCTGAGGCTGAAGACGCCAGAGCTCACTGAGAAGTAGTCCTCTTCCTAGAAAGGCTTCCTGAAGCCACTACTAGCCGTCCTTTCTGTCTCAGCAGCCACCACAGCACTAATGGGCTCCTCCTGTTCATTCAAACATGCATGTGGGAGGACATTGCTCAGCAGCAAGAAGCTGGAACTGGTTTCATGTCTGGCTTGAGACCCTCCTTAGTGAGAAAGAATTCTTCTCTCTAGTTCAATGAACTGTGACCAGAAACTTACAATCCTACCCAAAAGTGACTGCTGTATGACATATGGGATTCTGAGAACATGGTGAGGTACTAACAGCAGGGAATGTCAGTCTAGTACCATGCTACAATTCATCTCTTAACTTCCACAAAACTCTTGAACAAAAATAATCTTGTTTTGTACAACTTTTATTCTACTGACCTAGGAAATAAATGTCCTCAAACAGCATCTTTTTTTAATTAGCAAACAGTCCAAATATGAAACTACAAATACAAAAGCATGACATTTATGGTGGTAAAAGTAATTTACATTTTTAAACTGGTTTATTATGAACAGTCTACATCAGAGAAAAACACATAAAGTATTCATTCATAAAAATGAAATGACTTCTTAGATTTTTGTGTCTTTTAAGGAATTCAACCAGAAATTAGTTTTAAATTATATATTTCAAATATGCAGTTAATTGTATGTCAATTATATCTCAATAAAGTTGTAAAAAAAGAAAGAAGCAGCCACAGCCAGTGTCACTTACTGTGCTTTGCTTAACCCGCTGGTGAGGAGAGTTGAATAGGAAGGTGCCGAACAGTGAGATCCGGGTGCTGTCGCACAGCACAGCCAAGTAGGTCTCGGAGAACTCGAAAGCTGCTGGGTACTGTTCTAACAGCTGCCATGTGGCATCCAAGAACAGCAAAAATAAGGGAGACTGGCAAATACAGACAGACAATGGGATTATTTAAGATCCTTCAGCTGTTCACATTTACTTCCAAATTTATTGCTGATACTAAGAGATTAATACGAAAACATCTAAGCCTAAAACACTTGGCTCCTAAGTTGAGCTAAGAATATGAAATAGATTAAATATCTTATGTCAAATCTAACTATGTTTGACCATGATAAACATCATGAGCCTATGTGCCTAATAAGTACACCAACTAGAAATGGCAGAGCGAACAGACTAGTGGGCTGCCATTGTACAAATGCAGAAGAGCAAAATATGCATTGCACATCCTGGAAACAATTCCTTAGAACACAAAACAAACCAAAAAATGCAACCAACTTCTATAATTAACATTTGGTTGACCCTGTAGGCTCGGTATCCAGAAAACTTCTACAAGTTTCAGAAAACAGTTTGGCATCAGACTCCAGGCCACATGGTGTATCCCCAAGTACAACGGCTCATGACAGCTATTTTATCTGAGATAGAGATACCACAAGTCGAATGGTGCTCTCTGAAACCATCCTGTAAAAACTGGTCTGACCGCCTGGCCTATAAGATATCTGCAGGGCCCTCTGCAGCCTAACTATGGACCCAAGGCAGCTGCCAGCCCCACAGGAGTTATACAGATGACCCTAACTTTACATTCTTAACCCATGTGCCCCATTGTGAGAAAATGTGATATTCCAAAAGTGATTTTTCAAAACATTTTATCAGCTTTTCAGAAAAGTTAATGCAGAATTAATTTTCAACTTAGACAAATTCAACAGACAACTTTTTAAAATTTCACCTATACAGTTAACGATAACCTTTATACGTATATCAATTTGGACTTTATTAGTTAGCCTTGGACTATGGAAGCTAGGATGTACTAAATGCAATATTTTTTAAAAGCCCCTTATCTCTTTACATAATGACACATTTTATCTTGGGCACATTTAAAGACTGAAAATAAAGCATTAAGACTTTGTTACCTCTTTTTCTGATCTCTTTAAATGGTTGCATCTGTCTAGGAACTGATATCCTGCCATGACCCACTCCTTTTGTATCAGACTCTGAAATCCAGTAATTGTCCTGAAATAAGGATCCAGCATCACTTGAACAAGAGAAGCTATGAAACAGCTCAAATCTCTTCCCTCCTCCTCTGTCAATAAAATGGAAAAAAAAGTAAATGCTAAGAGACAAAGAGAAAGAGAGATAAATTAGATAATTCAGTATTCTGCACCAAGGCTACCTTCAAAAATACCTGTATAAGGAAATTTTACTGAATTCCAGCAACTCTAAAATATTATAGACTTTTTAGATAAACTAAATTAGTGTTTAACAGGCGATGGTCTTTTATATGTGAATATTTGCCTGATAGTAGAAGCTTATCATTTACTTTTTACATTTCAGTGGTTTGTGGTGGAAAAGTCTTTCTAGAATCCATTCGAGACAGGTGAATGGGAGAATGGGATTGTCCACTATCATCTAAAAGGGTGCCAAACATTTCCCTCCTGTCTTTTATAGCTGTCGTCTTTTTCAGTAAGGCCAGAATTACCCTAAAGCCAGCCAAAGAAATCAGAAGAAAATTACTGACCACTATCCCTTATGAGTGCAGATGTAAAAACGATTAACAAAAATACCAGTAAACAAAATTATCCCAGGAACATAAGAATTTATCCCAGAAATGCTAGGTTGGTTTAACATCTGACAATCAAAGTAAGGTACCATATTAATAAAGGACAAAAACAACATGATCATCTCATCAGATATGGAAAATTCATCTAACACAATTCCATATTCATTCTTGATAAAAACTCAGCAAACAAGGAATAGAAAGAAACTTCTTCAACTTCATCAGAAGCATCTACAAAAACACTACAACTAATAACATTCTCACTGGTGAAAGACTGGACGCTCTCCCCCTAAGATAAGGAACAAGACAAAGATGTCCGCTCTTGCTGCTTCTACACTGCACTGTACTGGAGGGCTTAGTTGGAACAATTAGGCAAGAAATAAAAGACATCAGAGATTAGAAAGAAAGAGGTAAAAACTATCATTTGTAGACAATTTTATCCTGTAAGTAAAAAATCCTAAGGAATCCATAAAGTAAACTACCAGAACTAATAAATGAGTTCAGCAAGGATGCAGGAATTCTATACATAATAACAATCAGAGTACACAATAAATCTGAAAATGAAATTAAGAAAATTGTATTCATAGTAACATAAAAAATAAAATACTCAAGAGATTTAATAAAATAAATGCAAGATTTGTACAATAAAACCTAAAACACTGCCAATAAAAGATGTAAATAAATAGACATTCATCTCATGGATTAGCAGATTCAATAAGGACGGTATTCTCCCAAATTGATGTATGGGTTCAACACATTCCTATCAAAATGCCAGTAGGCTTTTTGATAATCCTGAAAGTTATACAGAAATGCAAAGGACCCAGAATAGCCAAAACACTGTCAAAAACAAAGCTGGAATACTTATATGTCTCAATTTCAAAACTTACTACACACCTACAGTACTCAAAAGAGTGCAGTGCTGGCATAAGCACAGACATAAAGATCAACGGAATAAAATAAAGAGTCCAAAATTAAACCATTACCATTTATAGTCTATTAATTTTTGACAAAAGTACCAAGGAAATTCAACAGAGAAAGAATAGTCTTTTCAACAAATGGAACAATTTAATATCCACATGCAAAAAAGATGAATTTCAACTCTTTACAACATACACAAAAATTCATTCAAAATGAGTCACAGACCTAAATGTAAGAGCTAAAACTATAAAAATTCTATAAAACATAAGAAAAAGTCTTCATGACCTTGAATTAGGCAAAAAAGTTCTTAGATACCAAAAACATGATCCCATAAAAAAAAATGAATAAGCTGGATTTCATCAAAACTTAAAAATCAATGCTTCAAAAGAGATCAAGAAAATAAAAAGCCAGAGATTAGGGAAAAGTTTTTGGCTAATCATATAAAAATGCAATGAGGTTGTATCTAGAACATATAAAGAATTCTTAGAACTCACTGATAAGATGAAATGCATTAGAGAAACAGATGAAACTACAATGAGCTACTACTTCACACCTACTAGAACCCAAAAGACTGATAATAGTGCTGGTGAGGATGTGGAGAAACTGGAATCCTCATACATTGCTGAGGGGAAGGGAAATATGGTACAGCTGCTTCAGGAAACCGTTTGGCAGTTTCTTAAAAAGCTGGACATAAATTTACTATACAACTCGGCAATTCCACTTCTATGTATCTACCTAAGAGAAATAAAAACATATGTCCCCCAAAAGACTTCTATGTGACTATTCATAGCAGCATAGTTCATAATAGCCAAAAAGTGGAAACAACCTAAATGTCCTCAACAGGTAAAGAGATAAACAAAATGTATTTACAAATACAATTCAGAAATAAGAAGGAACAGGGCTGGCCTGGTGGCGCACTGGAGAATGCGCCGCTTGGGAGTGCGGCGGCGCTCCTGCCGAGGGTTTGGATCCCATGTGGAGACCGGTTCCCGCTCACTGGCTGAGCGCGGTGCGGGCACAACACCGAGGGTTGAGATCCCGTTGCCGGTCCCCGGTACGGGCGCGACACCAAGGGTTGCGATCCCGTTACCGGTCAGTAAAAGAGACAGGAAAAAAAAAAAAAAAAGAAATAAGAAGGAACAAACTTTCACTACATGAAAGAACCTTAAAATGTGTATGTTAAATGAAAGAAGCCAGAGGTAAAACACCATATATTGCCTGATTCCATTATACGAAATATCCAGAAAAGGCAAACCTTATAGAGACAAAAAGTTGATTCACTAGTGATTGCCTGGAGCTGGGACATAGGAATCTTTTTGGAGTGGTAAATTTTTTTTAAAACTAGACTCTGTATATTTACTAAGAACTACTGAGTTATACATTCAAAATGGGTGAACTTTATAGTATGAAAATTATACTTCAATAAATTGTTTAAAAAACACACTAAAAAAATTAGTAAAATACAAGCTCAGCACTTCTTCTGAGGCCTTTATAACACAAACTTGTGGAGAAATCACAGGTAAGGAGGACTTTCCAACAACATGAGGACACCCACTGGGTGAGAGGGGAAAACTACCTGACTGCTGGGTCTTACATTCATTTGTGAAGTAGATACACACCCTGACTGCATCAGTTAAGGGTTACTTTGTATGGTATTTCACCATTCTTATTTTTTTTCTTAAGGATTTTAAATATCTTTGTCTTGTTAAAGTCAGTTAAGTTTAACAGTTGGTAAAAATACATCTGTGATCTTCAGCATCCTGTGTTCATGTACTACGCAGTGTGAATATAAAAGGTAGCTCATGGTCTATTAAACTGTATCTGCAAACTTAGAAATTCTATTGCTGTAAAGTTATTTAATAAATAATTACCCTTTGCTTAACTGAAAGATTTCTACATTGCAGTTTATTCCTACCAAATATTAGACAAAATTCCCATTATTGGCTACTCAGTTCAGTAAATGTCCTGATATTCTGTACAGTCACAGTCTAGCATGAGCCAGAAGACACTGAAGGTAAAACACATTTGTATGCACTGGAAAGACAGCAAGATTAGAGAGAGGATGCCCTGCCAAAATGAATGCTAAGTATCGATCCAACAAGGCATGTGACCCATCCTTCCCATAAGATAGGAAGACGGGTTTAAAAAAGGCTAGAAAACTGCACTCCTCTCTGTTCTATTTGCAGTCTTTGTTTTTACTCTAATAATATGCAAAATCTGTAGCATATATGATGGTATTACAGTAAGTATGAGCTCAGATTGATATGATTTACTTGAATGTAGGCAATCAGTCACCAAGTCTGGCTGGCATGGTGGTCATGATGTTTTCAGGAATTACTTTAATTACCTTGTAGGACTACAGAAAGGTGTTTGTTTTCCAGCATGTACACAAGTTCTGCCGAATGTTTAAGGAAAGCCCTGAAAAGAGAAAGGGAAAAATACTGTTAGTAATCAAATTTCCACTACAAACATATTTGAAAAGTACTTGAAATCAAGCAAATCTAATCTTTCACTATACAGATGCTCCTCGACTTAATGATAGAGTTAAATCCCGATAAACGCAATGTGAGTTGAAATGATCTTAAGTGGAAAATGTGTGGCTAACTGGGAGCTGTGGGTTGCTGTGCTGCCCAACATCAGGAGAGTACAGTTCCTACTGAATGCACATGTCACTTCGCACCAAAGTAAAGTAAAAAATGCTACTTCCAACCACCGTTACATCAGGGGCTGTCTGTATACATTTGTGTCCTCCACCTTTATTTCATGAATTTCTTTAATATTTATATAATTCTTCAACAATACACTCTGTGATTTGTATATCAGGGAAATTCACTGATCCTATATATAAAAAAGGAAGGGGTTGACTTACATAACATTCATGAAATGACAAAACTAGAGATTGAGAAGAGACCAGTGGTTGCGAGAGGCAGAGGCAGGGACAGGGAAAGGGGGTGCAACGATAAAAGGAGCAGTACCAGGGAGCCTCATGGTGATGTAGCAGGTTTGTATCTTGATTGCGGTGGTGGTTATGAGAATCCATACGTGTGGTAAAACTGCACAGAACCACATGTATGTATGTGTGTACACAGGCACAGAGCATAATAAACGGGTGAAATCTGAATAAGACTTGTAGATTGTACCAATGTCAGTTTCCCAGTTTTCATGTTGTACTCTAGTTTATGAGAGATGTTACCACTGGGGGAAACTGGCTGAAGAGGTATATTTTTGCACCTTCTGTGAGTGTAATTATTTTGAAATAAAAAATTAAAGAACTAAAAAGGAAAAGAAGTTGTACAAACCTTACATATTCTAACCACCGAGTATTTTCTAGTGAAGATAACCACTTCTCTTCAGTTTCTTCAAAAGAGTCTGTAATAAATATGCATGCACATGCACAATTTTAGGCTTTTTAAGCTTAATTTTACATGATCAATATCAGACTTCAGTACTACGTACGTCAAGGTTTCTAAACATCTAAGATAACAAGTTACAATTCTATAACAAAGCAAAACAAAGCATTCCCTTGGGGCTCCATCTTCTCTCTGGCTCTTTAAGGGAAATCTCAAGAGTACGACCAACTGCCTCCTAAGAGCTAGCAATTCCCAGCCTGTCTCATCAGCCCACACCTTGACTCTGGCTCTCCTATCCTGTGAGAACAGCTGCTCAGGCCCCACCTCACAGCTTCCTCACTGCAAGCCTGGCCCCCACAGCCAGTGCTGCCTCTGCACTTGGTTTATGTGGCACTGGTAGCTGACCACTGCAGGAATGAGACGGCACCTCCGCTGCCCTGCCCAGAGTGCACACAATCACTCAAGGCCCTGGGTTTTTTTTAACCCTCTGCCCTTGCCAAGCTAACAGACAAGTGCCCACTCATCATTCAAGGCCTGCTGCAAGGCTGTCTCGCCTGACTCCCAGGTGAATTGGGGGCTCTCTCAAGGAGGACCCACTTTACACCAAAGATGTTTTCATATGACATCGAAGCCACCTGATAAGAGTTTGCTCAGATACATTAGAATTCTGAGGCTGCAGATACGACATGGCTGTTCAATGTCCATGTCCAGTTCCCTATCTCAAACTCTAGCTGTATGCATTAAAATCTTAGTAATATGTCTATACGGTAATAGATTTATACTTAGAAAATGCTTTTATAAAAGTATGTTACTATACCTTTCATTATTTAAAAGAGATTTAATACATTCATTTTTTCCCCTCCAAAACAAAAAGCAATTTAAACTTAATTTCCTAGGAGGTTCTGACATTTTCATACAATAAGATATAATTTGTACAAATATTTCAATAAGCCTCTCCTTAAATATATCTTTTTCTATATTTTTAAGGAACATCACTTTTCCTGACATGTCTCATACAATTCTATTCCCCGTTCATTATATATATATAAAATAAAAAATGAAATTACCATTAACGCATAGTTGTTTAAGTTTTACAAACGCCGCCTGTACTTCTTGAATATTAGGCAATGTCTTATCCAAATCTGATTTGTAAACATCACTTCTCTGTGGATGACTTTTAGTTATTGCATTACAAATCCTAATAAAGACAAAATTCTTTAATCACTATTCATCCATTTCTTCAAAATATATTTACGAGCATTCACTATAAGCCAAGGCACTATTCTAGGAGCTAGGGATAGGGAGATTAACATGACAGGCCAGATTCTGTCTCCATGGAGTTTACATACCTGGTGGTTGGGGGGTAAATAGTGACGAGAAAACAGCAGGCCCTGATGAATGCACAGAGGCATAAGTGACTGAGGCATAGTCAGAAAAGCCTCCTCTGTGAGAGTGATACTGAAGCTGAAAAACAGATGACTAGGAGCAATGCAAAGATCTGGGAACAGTGCTTTAGACAGAGGGACGATGAGGGGAAACAAGGTTGGCCAATGGAGAAACCTAGAGAAGGCCAATGGAGCTAGAGGACATGTCTAAGAGGAAAAGGTGCGGAGCTGAGGTTGGACAACAAAGAGGATCCATCCTATTTATAAAGGAACACAATAGTTGAGGAAACAAAAGGCATTAAAATAATTCTAAGCTTAACAAAGTAAATAATTGAAAATGCCACTGGTTATAAAGCTTTATAACTAACTCTCATCTACCAGTGTTACAATTTTCCATCTGACAGTAAAATTCCTACCTGAGCGCTTGACTGGCACACATGTTAGTGAAAAGAAGGTGTGGAGTGTGACACGGTAGAGTTAATTCCCAGTGTGATGAAGGTAAGATCACAACCCATAGAGAAGAGGGACTTCTGAGAACTGTAGGCATCCTTCCTTCCAGAAAACTGATGGGTCATGTTGGGATCATTTGACAGTAATTTGTTTCAGCAAATGTGGCTTTCTTAGTTATAGTACTGTGGAAAAACCCTAAGATCTGGATATACCAATAATGAACTATTATATACAATTTCTGAAGTTCTCTTATCTGTCATTTGTTCCTCATTTATTCAACAATTATTAACTAAATGTCAAAGGTACTTCCTGGGTGCTACATTTACAACGGTGTGCAGAACAGACATGGTCCCTCACCTCTCACGGAGCTCAGTCTAGTAAAAAAGACAGGCAGTAATCAAACTGTAACACACATATATAATTAAAAACGGAGATAAGTGATATGTAGAAGAATTTGAGAGCTCTAGAGAATGTCTAACTGTGAGGCATGCCCTAATTCTGGAGGCGAAAAAGGCTTATCTCAAGGAAGTGATATTTGAACTGAGATATAAAGTGGAATAAGCTGGAGGGAGCTCGTGGAGCCCAGGAGAAGGAAGAGTATGGGAAAACATGAGCAGATTGAAAACATCGGGGGATGTCCTGGTGGCTAGAGTTCAGGAGGAGATGGGATGTGGAGCAAGGAAATAATGGCACCCGTAATACAGCGAGGTGAAGCTGGGGTGGAAGCATATGGGTTTGTAAGATTTCTGACAGGTGAAGTAACAAAATCTGATGAGAGACTGGAGACGGGGATGGAAGGAAAGAGTACACCATCAAGGATGACCCCTAGGTTTCTGAGAGCACACTGGGGAGGGCGTGGTGGTCATATCCTTGAATTTGGTTTTGGACATAATGAGACCTTCATGTGGAAGATGACAAATTAGACTGTAGATGTAAATGTGTTGGTTACTAGAGTCACAGCCCTGGGTGAACTTCAGGAAGGAAATACAAAATGGTAAGAGGAAGTAGCCTTAGACTGACTCTATGTAACATCTGGAGTGAAGAGAAGAGGCTTATGGAGAGGGCATCACATACCAGGGAGGAAGAGAAGCTTCAGGAGAGTGGAGAGGGGCAGAAGCAGAGGGCCCAGGGATTTAAGCAGGGCGTGGTAAATGGTGCTAACTGCTGCTATGAGAACCACTGAGGAAGGCCTCCCACATAAATGACATGCAGGTTACTGCTGACTCCAGCAGATGACACCCATCTTGTTTGCGATGGCTAATGAAAACCACTGTTCCAGCTATCGTGACTTCTAGACCTAAACAAGACATATCAAACTGCAAGAAAAGCTTGATTTATCCTGAAGAGTCTCACCTGGAAAGCACTGCAGTTTGAAAGTGTGTTAAGAGCAATGTTATAGCAAGATGCCAGCAATGTAAGATTCTCAAGTGTCTCATAAACCAGAGAATTAAATTATATTCAGTATAACTTAAGTGCTAGTTAATTTTAATATAGTCACGTTCTTTTCAAAATGGCAATTCTTGTATAGAATATATGGTGGTATTAATAAGACTATGCCTTTTGCCAACTATTTTCGATTAGGAGGGAACTTACTATACTTATTTATGCCAAGTACAACTGTCCGAAGTGACAACGATCATCTCTCAATTACCTCTGGTCGATCTTCCTCTGCTGCAGCACGTCTTTGATGAGGGCCATTCGCACGAGAGCACTGCCATTGGGATGGCTCCAGCACCAGAGCTAGGAGAGAGGCAGAACCCTTACTGAACTAGGTGCCAACAATGGACATCAACATTCATGAAATCCAACAGAAATCACTTACTGGCATCCTTCTGCCAACAAAAGAATGGGAAAAGATCTTCAGATCTTGGTCTGCTAAAGAACTTGGCACTACAAAGTACTCTGGAAGGCTGCAGGGGAAAAAAGATTGTACATAAGAGTCCTGTGCTAAAGGCAGGAATAGTGTGCTCTGTAGACACTAGATATAATTAAACACGTTTATCTCAATTTAATGTGCACCTCACCTAGTGGCTACATGGTGAGCACCATTGGGGGCACAGGTGGTCCTAGACACTTCAGTCTAAACCATGTGTGATGCAGTCAATTCTTGCAAAATTTAAATGTACAGCATGAGAAAAATCCAAAGAAGATATCTGAAATATTTTCTAGAATGACTACTAATCAAACACGTATGCAGTTTCTCAAAACATATCCACCTTTGTTCTCTTGACAGGCTGTGGGTGAGGAGATTCCCGGCAAACCAAACCAAACCACACCACACAAACCTCCCAGGAAGCTTTAGCTCCCTTCTTATCTCCCTCTTCTTCCATTCCCCACCCCTAAAAGGTACAGTGAGACTCCAGGGCAAGCTCACTGCAACTTAAGACACATCCTCCTCCTCCTCTCCTTTCCTCCATGTGGCCGGGCAGAGGCAGCCCCAGCCACGCCCTGTCACACGCTTCTCAGCATGTGTGCCAGAACAGGCTAGCCATGACGGTTAAATTCAAGGGGAGGCAGAAGACACAAGCTGCACGCTCTAAAGCACCCTCAGTCTACAGAACTGTACTCCCAGAAGTTCCTGGTACTGGATCAGCCAGTGATAACAGGGTAGTGCTTTTTCTTTTTTCCCTAAAGAGGTGCTTCTCTGCATGAACTAATGAGAGAGAAAGAGAGAGACAGAGACAGAGAGAGCGAGCGAGCATGCGCCATGCGCCTGACTGAGATCGGATGTGATGCAGTGGGAGGCACACACCACCACCTAATCAAACATTTTGGCCCAAAACACTGAACCTGAAGCCAATTAGGTCTCTAGCACTAACTAACATTTTATAGGAAATAAAGGAGACAGAGGAACATGTTAAAGGACACCACAGGATAAAACCAGCAATATCCGGAATGTAGACAATTCTAAAGAACAAATAAACTGGTTTTGTCAACAAATAGTAAGTAAAAAAGAGATGGGAGGAGGCTGCTGTAGATTAAAAGGCCTAAGAGACATACCAAGCAAATACAATGTGAAGACTTTGGATCCTAACCGGAACAAACCAATTGTGAAAGACAGTTACAAGATAAAATGCAAAGAAACACTGATAGATTATTAATGACAGTAAGAAATTGTCAACTTCTTTTAATGAATACTGATACTGTGATTATGTTAAAAGCCCTGATTTTTAAAATAAAATATTCAATACAACATTATTCAAAACAAATATTCCATTAACCATAACTTGAAAGTTATCAATGATGGCAGAGTTTGGTTATTCTTCATAGGGAAGGCCCTTCCAGCTATATATAACATGGTTAAAGTAGGACTTACCAAGTGGATATCATGTAACCCTCGTTAATAGAACAAACTCGCCACCCAGAAGCACCTGTCCTCTTGATTTCTCTGTCCCAATCAGAGTAAGTTTCAAACAATGGAGTTTTTTGGCTGCTGCCACCACCAGCTCCACTACCTCCTCCTCCTCCTGGGGGTATTCCATTAATACTGTTGGCTGCAGGAAAAAGCGACATTATTAATTTTGTTTTAACACTTCCTTTTCACCCAGCACTACACCTCTCTTCTTTCTGTGTCTCCTGTCACATATGCTCTCTGGGGTGGCATTTCCTCCCTGCTTCATTGTTCCAGTCTCTTCAAGAATCATCTTACCTTTGGCATTTAAAAATAACTCATTCAATCTTGTCTGAAAGCTCTTTCCTACTTTTCCAGCTCCTTCCCTACTCCTTAAACACCTCTGATTTTTCTGTCCTACTGGCTCTCTCTCCTCCTTACTTCAAACATACACGGGGCAACTTGACTTTAAAAAGACTTTCATTTGGGCAGAGCCCATGGCGCACTCGGGAGAGTGCGGCGCTGGGAACGCAGCAGCGCTCCCGCCACGGGTTCGGATCCTATATAGGGAGGACAGGTGCGCTCACTGGCTGAGCGCGGTGCGGCCGGTCTCAAAAAAGAAAAAAAAAAAAAAAAAAAAAAAAGACTTTCATTTGATCACGTTGGTCCTCTCTAGTTATATGTTATATATTTTCATTCCTGCCTTTTACTGACCACCTTCCCAAACTATGAAGAATGCCTGCTGCCCATGTTTCCTCTTCACGTATGTTCTTCTTCATTTTCAATTGTCTTCCATCCCTACTGTTTTATGGAAAATATTCCTGATCCTTCCTCATCTCCCTGCCCCAAATTGTGAGGCAAATCCTACTTATTTGCTTGTTTTCTCCACACATTTTGCCTGGAAAAATGAATGCATCCAACAAATCACCTGTTCTCAAGCCCTCCAAATCTTTCATTTTTCTAAATACCAACTTCTCATCTATTTGCTCTTTTCTATCTGCTGATTAGAAAATTCTTAGTTTCCTACATCTACTCAATTTTCCTTTGAAAAGCTCACAAGTTTCCCTGTGCTCCACTAGAGAGCTGGTCCCATTTGGAGATTTCAGCAGGGCGGGCCTACACTTGAATTTCCTTAGCAAGGAGCTTTCTCTAAGAGAGGCGTGCTGCTCTCTCCTAGGAGCATGCCCACAGCCTCGGGACTGCCTGCAAAGTGACTAGCAAGAACGGATTTGTCCCACAATCAGCCCACTCTACTCTAGCAGTCTGGGGTGGCAGGAGGCACAACCCTTCCTGGTCCAGTGTCTGACTACTGCTGGCTGCAGCTGGGGCAAGTCTTCCAGCTGATACCCTCAGCAGCATGTTCCACTGCACTTGAACCAGCCAGCAGCTTCCCAGCAAGACACACTGCCCTAAAAGGATGCTTTCAAGATGCTAGTCCCTTGCCCCAAACTTTCAATCATGCTCATTTTCCAACTGAATCAAGCAAGCTTCTCTTGGCCTTAAAAAGCCCTTGAATAACTGACCTGACCTTTATTTTCCATTATTACCAATTTGCAGTAATCACCATGCATCACCATGCAAAACCCTTCATTGTCTCACGAACATGTATGTTCCAACTGGTATTTATTAACTCCTGGTGCAAGACAGGTTTTTTCTGAGAACCCACCATATGCTAAGGCCTGAGAGCAAAAAGACAGGTAAAGTTTTATCTCTATCTTGAAAGTGCTAATAAGATAGCAGGGAGTTAGGTGCAATAATTACAGACACTGGATGTCTGAGTGCAAGAAGATGCAGGAGAGAAAGCCCCTAACTCTCGTTGGGGAGAAAGGCTGGCAAAGGTGTCACAACTTGACGACATCCAAACAGAGCCCTAAGGAATGAGTCAAAAGTTGCCGGGTGGCTGGTGAGCAGAGGTAGGCATGCTGGGCAGAGAAGAACATAAAAAACATGGTACAGTTGTATAACACCAAGTAATTAAATACAGCTAGAGCATTAGGGATGCAAGAGGTGGTGGGATCGGCTGGAAAATTAGATGGGGCCTAGACTCTAGGTCTATGCTGCCCAAAAGAGTATCCACTAGCCATGTATGCCCACTTAAATTTAACCAAAATAAAAATTAAATTAAAAATTCCGTCTCTCACTTGCACTACCCACATTTCAAGTGGTAAATAGCCACATATGACTAGTGGCTACCCTATTGGACACAGCAGATAAGAGAACATTCCCACCACTGGACAGCGTTACTCTAGATTATGAAGGGTCTTATGTACTGTGTTAGAAATTTAAAATTTTATCTTTTGGGTGACATTAGAATTACTCGGTGATTCTGATTTTAACAGAGCTCACTGAAAATTAAAATGCTAACTCTAGTCCCATATCCTGGAGTCCCACTCCATTTCAGCATGTTCTCTGGAGTAACACGACAACTAGAAGGTGTGCTGGGGTACTTGGGGATTGTGATCTCTCCACAATGCAAAGCCTGCATGAAATTTTCAGGCAACTCCTAATTTATACACAGTGTTCCAGAGCACCAAAACACAGAAAGCTAGTCAAAGTTAGAAAATCTAAGTAATTCATCATATAACTAAATCAAAGGGGAAAAACCCATATGACCAGGTAAATGCAGAAAGGCATTTGGTAAATGATAAAGTTCAACACCTGTTTATGATTAAGAAAAAAACTTTAGCAAATTTGGAATAAAAAAGAATATCCTTAACTTGATAACCGGCATTTATCAAAAACATACAACAAATAGCAGGAGTAGAAATGATAAAATTACTGCTATTCAACATTGTATCAGAGGTCCTAGCCACACAGTAAGTCTACTACAATCAAAAAGAAATATAAGGGCCAGCCCGTGGCTCACTTGGGAGAGTGTGGTGCTGATAACACCAAGGCCACGGGTTCGGATCCTTATATAGGGATGGCCCAGCTCACTTGGGAGAGTGTGGTCCTGACAACACCAAATCAAGGGTTAAGATCCCCTACCGGTCATCTTTTAAAAGAAAAAAAAAAGAAATATAAAGAACACACTCAAAATTTTAAAACAGGTATGTAAATAGTTGGGCAGTATTCCCCTAGCGAAATGCCTAGAATTGAATACTTCTTAGTGTTTTGAGTTGTAGACTTTAATAAGCTAGGCTGCGAAGGTGCTGTTTATGAGATTGTTTCTCTGGCCAAATTTGGTCTCAAGTTTAAGACAGATTTTCCTGAACATAAAGTGTGAGCATCTATGGGACCCTGTACTGTTTGCTATTGTACAGGTTTTTCTCGTTCAAATTCCGTACATTTCTCAATAACAAAGACTAAGTCTTTTATATGTTCTCTATCTCCTTCAATGAGAGCTCATTATGGAATGTGTACTTAGATACTCAATCTGGCTTTATAGTCTAGAAATTCTAATGCTTTCCAGAAAGTCCCAAAGGTCTGATACTAGTGGCCTACGTTACAGTGGATCACTATGAGGGGTTACGGCAACACACTCACAAAGGGGGTCATCCTAGGGAAACCTGGCTCCTTTGACAGCTACCTGGCTGAGGTTTCATTACACTCCTCCTCATCAGACTGAAAGTGAAATTAGATACTAAATATTCCTGACCTTGGCCATCTTCTGTGATACAGTTCAGAAGTTTAATCCTAGACTGTTGACCTTATTTTAGAGTTTCCACTTAATTGGCCCCACTGACATACACAAAATGGCCTTGAGCAACAGGAAAGATAATAAAAGTGGTCATCACGTGAAAAGAAATCCTATCCCTCTGATGACACTGCAGAAACTATAAGTCATAAAGAAGGTGACAAAGGTAAAAAGAGAATTGTGATCACTAATAAGTTCAAAAAAGCTGAGTCAACAGAGTGGTTCTTAACTTTGGGATTCTGACTTTGTGGGCCTGTGCTGGAGCCAGCGTGGCTGTGTTTCTAAATACTGATGCATGTGGCTGGTTAAGAATCACTAACATTCAAGAGACAAGAGGATCGGTCATAATCATTTATAGCTACACTGAGAATCCTAAAAGAACTGACAGATAATAAACTTTTAAAACTCCTATGCTGTTCAAAAATGATTGTGTACTAAATTTTTTCAAATAAGCATTTAAAGAGAAATCCACACCAAGACCTATCTTAATAAAAAGGATAAAATTAAAAAATAAAAGATACTTCACTGAAATGTATATTTTCTGATGTTAAGCTGCACAACTTCAGACTACATTTGTAAGCTTGATGTCTGTTATGAAGTAGAGTTGCTGACACTGATACTGCAGATAACTTCATGAGGTTTTCTTTTGTCCAGAAGCATAATCTGACATCGTATCATTTTTGTAACAAAGATGAATCTGTACTTTTTGAACATTATTTGCCCAATAATAACCTGACTGATGAAAATGGTCCTCGTGGTTTTTTTCAAGTTAGAAGAAAATGGACTCGCTGTTTTGTTTGTACCAGTGCCTCCCGTGGTGTTTATGTATATAGTGTTCTGAAGCCTGTGGGTGCTATACACTTTCCTGCACTTTAGGACACTCACAGAAGTATCTGGATGACTGCTAAGCTTTTCAGAGATGGATTTTGTTCATGTGATGCTGGATACGAAAGAAAACCTCAGAATGCCTAAGGCCAGCTAGGCCAGCTAAAAGATTCTTTTCTTACATAATTGTAGGGGACATCCTGCAACTTTGGATCTTATTTGTGGGAACAGCTTTGTCACCTACCTGCCTGCAAAAAGGACTTCTTTAATCCAGCCATTAAATCAAGGTGTCATCAGAAGTTCAAGAGTGGATTACTGGGCATCTCTCACTCACAAATTAATGAATTCTGACTGCAGTGTGTGGAAATTTCAGGCTTCTTTTGATCTTAAAGATGCAGTTTATGCTTCTGTAACAGCATGGAATGACATTAAAGGATGTTACCCTACAAGGAATCTTAACAAAACTTTGTCCAGTGTTATGTTTACAAAGTACTTGTCAAAGGAGGAGGAGTCAGAAGAATGTAATATAAAAACATGTTTTTGAATATTTTAAGTACTAATCATCAAATTTTATCAACAAGGTATATAAGAAGGAATTGAGGAGCTGATTGATGAAATAAGAAAACCCAGTAGTAAAAGAGCTATGGGTTGATAAACTATTTAAAGTATTTAACCAGAGATGCCTACAGGAATGAATGAAGCGTGAAAAGTAACTCAAGCGGGTGTCAGGTTACCAATTGTATAAAGTACTTCAAAAGTCCATGGAAAGATTCATATTATCTTTTAATTCTATTTGTCCACAAACTTGTTGAGGTATCCTTGTATAGCAAAGTTTATTGTATTTGCTGAGCCTAAGTCATTACACTGCTGCAGAAGTCATGGATCTATACACCAAATCAAATTACTTCTATCAGTGAAAAGGTAGCATGAAGAATTCATCTGTATCATAAACAAATTTAAATGGGAATTGAAGTCTTCTCTCCTACAACTCTTATACCTCTTGAAACTTTCATTTCAGCCACTCTCTTGCAACTCTGGGTGAAGATTTTATTGAAAATAACATTGATGATTACCATTCCATAGCCTGATGATGATCCAAAAAAATATTTACCCAACAAATAGGGCAGGATCTATAATACTTTATTTTTAGACAATAAGTAAATTTACTTCATATTAAAAAATAAACAAAAATAACTGTATAGTTTAAGCCTATATTACAATTAGTATATATTTTGATAAGAAAAACTAAGTTACAAATACTTTTGTTATCCAATTTCTATAAATATAGTACTATATGATAAAAGCTGTTCTGCAAGGCATTATTTTCATATATCATCTCTAGTGCTGATAAGCATCTCTTAAAGTAAAAAAAAGTACTTATATGCATCTGCAGATACTGCATATTAATACTATATTTTAATGTATTTACAATATAGTGATACTAAAATATCCTATTATACAGGTTATTTAAATTACTACCATATATTCTAAGGTAAGAAATATAAAAGTCCAGGAAAATGAATAATTTGTAAGACCCAGACCACACTGCGTTGAATGGACTTCATTAATGAAAGATCCATTCACCCCAGCATAGTCGGGGTCTTAAAAATTATTCATTATATTTATTTTTATAAAACTGATTTATTTTTCTTTTACTATTATAAAACTGATTTATTTTTTTCCCTTAAACAGTGCTTCATTCAGCTGGTCAATGTGCTGTTACCCAGAACGGGGCAAATAGGATACATGGCCTCTTTTTTTCCTCTATCCTTTTATGAGATTTAAAAAAGTAGTTTATTAAAATTACATTTGTATATAAACAGGATGTACAGAATTACATGATCACCTGGAATTTTCCTTGGTGATGTGATGGCTGACAAATACGTAGAAAAAATTATTTTACTTCCACAGAAATGGCACAGTATATACCATCTTCGGACAAATGCTCATCTTCGTTTCATCAATATCTTATTCACAAAAGGTCAATATTTAGATAATCTTAAGTGTTGTCCACCAAAAATTTTTAACCTCCTTTTGCATAAAATCACACCTTGCCAGAAAAGATTACGCTTTTCAACTATCTTTTAGTTTTCTGCCAGTTTTCTTAAAAGATTACTTTATTTCAAGCAACCAATTAAAAAGGATAAGGGATATATTCTTCATCATGAAATACAAGCCAGTGACTGGAAGTAAAATATTTGACATGACTCTTACAAGCCCATATTTATAGCTGCTTATAGATTCTTCCCGGTCGCTTTTCAACAAATAATCTGACAGATATTGGTTCTATTAGTAATAGTGCTTACTTCTCTAACAGTTATAAAATGGGTAATTTCTACAATCATTAAAGCTAATGTACTTGGAGGCTTCTGATATAAATAAGAATAAAATTTACACATGTAAAGTTAGTCAAAATATTTAATATTTTGATATTTACCTGAATTGTGGTATTTTTCCCCAACATATTCAAATGCAAAGAGTAGCTGGAGGTCTGTTGGCTGGGAATAATGAGCTATTGCAAGGCATACCTAGGAAAAATTCTACATTTAGAATTTGATTTTAACACACTTAATTAAATGAAATGTACAAGAAGGCCTTGGTCACTAGGAGCATCATCTTGGGACAGTGATTGAAAGTACTATTTACGTGTTTTTCTGTTGACTTAGAATGTGAAAGAGCTCCTTAAGGCCAGGTATTTCATTCATTGTTGTGCCACCAGGACATTATTTTTTCTTTAGTTAGTACATGGTAAGTATACGCTAAGTATCTGTTGAGTTGAATTTTAACTAGGAAGTAATTTTATTCCAATGAACCAAACTTGAAAGCTAAAGAAGCATTCTCCAAAAAGGCCATGACAACGTATCTACTCCAAAAAGAAAGGGGAAAAAAAATTTCATTTTTGGTGGACTACTAAGGCTTAATATAAGAAATGAAATTTTAATGCTTATATCTCATGGATTAAAAAACCTAAACGTAATAGAGAAGCCACAATCACCAAAAATTAAAGTCAGCAAGAAACCTAAAAATACATGGGTGGCTCTAAGAAGAACATCAAAAAAACTGTTGAAGTAAAATGGGTTGTAATTGTGGTGGGAAAAGTGGGTTTTCGAATCAGACACATCAGGGCTTGAATCCTCGCTATGTAACTTGTATGAAGTTCCTTTCTCCCAGCCTCAGTCTGCTGATCAGTAAAATGAGGGTAATACCCAAGCTGTGGTAAAGATTAACAATGTTAATGCACGCTTGACCTTTGGCGGAGCTCCATACACGGAAATATGGTGATTATTACTCAACTGCTGTTGGATAGAATGAAGGACGGGGCTATGCTTACAAACCCTGGACCAGACTGTGGGAGAAAATGCTCTTAAATGAGCAAAGAAGAAAGAAGAAGTTTAAGACATGTGCAAGGAGAGAACAGCAGAAGACCTTACTTAAAAAGATGAAACATCAATTGGAAGGCAGAGCATTAAGCCAGAATGATATGCTTTTGATAGTGAGCGAACAAGAAATCTTTAGTTAATGGTTAGTTCATATCAAATTTGTGGTGTTAGGAGTGGATTGATTCAAATTCCATTAACCAGCTTGTGTGGCAACCTGTTGCTTAAACTATATTTTAAAAGTCTTCCATAGATAAATGTTTCCTGTCTTACTAAATTAAAATATACAACCAAGGGGACAGAATTTATCATTAGGTCTGGCCAAACAAAATGCTTCCTGAAACCTGTGTAATATCTTGATTTCTCAATGCCTATGGGAGAGCTTTCTATGAGGCTCCCATCACAAAATGTACGAGGTATTTATCTACATTCTTATTCCTCATTTGTCCAACACCCTTCCTTAAAGCATTTCTCATAGCAGCGAAACTACTGAAATGTGTACCCTGAAAAAGTCCTTCCACTCTCTCTTCCTTTGGGCACATATTGAGTCTGTGATCTTTGCTGCACTTCTCTCCAGAAAGTTTTCATGTCCGTCCCATTCTGCTGCACTGCCCTGGCCACATCCTTAAGCCACACTAACACCTCGTGGCACCTCCATGGGCTCCCTGTGTTCTAGAAATCCACACACTATGAATCCTCTTCTAAAGATGTAATTTTGACAAATAACTGCCCTGATGGTAACCTGCTGTAGTTCTCAGACACCTGAGTAATAAATTAAATCTTCTTCTCGATTCTCCACAAAACTGGCTCTCCTCACCTGATGTCCCTTACCTTCCTAATACTCCCACAGCAGTCTCTGGTCACAGAAAAGCATGTTTGCACATGTCCTGTCTGACTGAGCCCTCACCATTTCCTCTGCCACACTCTTTGCTTGGGAAATCCTTCTCCTCCTCTCAGCCAACCATGCTTTCTTGGAAACTGTCATATCTGTTCAACCCTACGCTTCACAAAACTTCCTACAACAAGCCAATTTCAGACTATTAATTCCAGAAGCTCTTCTATTCTCTCCGAATAACAATTCCAATATGAAGTCTCTTTAGTTAATCGTGCTCATGTAGCTGTACTTTCAAGGTACTTAGTTATGAGTGTGGATAAAAAGTAGGGCATAGGTGGTTCTTTGTTATACTTCACTATTAAGTTCAATTCCTTATGAGTAGATGCCGCATTTCTCACTCATTCAACAAGTATTTACTGAGCACCTATGATGTTCCAAGCCCTGAGGATATGGTGAACAGAACACACGCAAATCCCTGCCCTTATTCAGCTTACATTCCAGCAGGGAAGACAGACACTAAGCAAGATAAACAAGAAAAAATCTAGTAAGTTAGATAATGCTAAGTGCTAAGGGAGAAAAAAATAGAGCAAAGAAGGGGAACATGAAGTGTCATAGTGAGAGAAGACTTCTGCGTTCTGTAGCACCCCTTCAGTAGCTTCCTGATGGTGCTCTGTGTCCAACAGTGGCTGCACTAAAAATACTAGTTTACAAAATTAGTTATTAACATATTAAGGAAAATGCTCCAAGACAATAATACTCGTATATTGTTCTCTAAGACAATTAAAAAGCAGTCACAGGTCCTGTTTACACAAAAGAAATTCACAGATCACTGATTAGGTAGCAGGTTTTTTTTGTGGCTGCAGAGCAAAAAAGAAAGTCTACCTGCAAGGCAAACACCCAACACAGCCTATTTCTAAAAAGCCCCTTAAAAATAGCATAATATCACATTAGGTTAGAAAACAAATGAGTACGTCTAACAGCATCTACATTTACTGAAACTCAATTATTTCCACAGTGGTTGATTTTTGGGGGGCAGGGGGCACAACTTGAACTAAATTTGTTGTTTAGTAGTATAACTACATGTGTGTATTGACTTATTTTTGTATAATTTAAGTAAGGGGTATCTTTGAGTACACACAAAAGGCACATGCAAACTTATGTATCTGAATTACATTCACGTTGTTATTGTGGAACATTCTGGAAGAGAAAGCAAGTCAGGAGTCCTTTTTCTTCATGCTTTTCATGTATACTATTTAAAAAGCCTATCTTCAAATCCTTATATTTAAAATTCTTATGTATGCTTAGCCTATATCCCCGAGATTTGAAAGAATTAAAACAAACAAAAAAGTCTCATTTTCACATAAAATTATTCTAATTTGCAATTTATTCCCTAAACATTAATAATTTTTAGAAAAATTAATCTTTAGAAACTGCCTTTAAAATAGTTTATTTGCCCTGGCTATCACAGGAAATGAATAAAACCTTAGTACCGAAGACATCAAATTACGGTAAATATTTTATCAGAGAAAAAAAAGTAAACCACTTCTGAAGCAGTTTTTGGACCACGGCTGATATTCTCTGGACAGAAGCCAGAAGTACCCATAGTTGACAGTTCTAAGACCAGCCAGGTGCCCAGCACTGGAGACACTCAAGTCTCATCAAGTTCTATCACATTTGCAAACAAAACTGATTTCCTATATTTGTGTGTTCTGAAAGGCACCAAGGAATAAGTATCAGATTCAAGGCAAAAAGTGACAGTTCAGGAAAAGGCCAACTTGTTCTTTAATAAGATGAACTAAATTCACTTCTAGAAAATATGCCTGAACAAGTGATTCACAACCAACTAATCTGAGAATAAAGTAGAGACACATGGCATACATTTCACTTACCATCCGTACATATTTATACATATTTTAACAAGTGATAGATCATTAAAAACAACCCCCCCCCCAGTTTCGAGCAAATATCCTTCAAAAGGAGATGATGGCTCAAAGTTGCTAGGAGGTTAGATGTCCAATTCTGCATCATCAAATTCCTTTTTCTTTATACAGACCTTTCCCAAATATCATTATTTTCCCAGCCCAAGGACAATGGGGACAAATGTTAATGGATCCAGTTGCACAAAGTAATCTAATTTTGTCATGATACAATTGAGACAGTACCAACTAGACAATTAGTTTTCAGAGCAAATGTAACAAAATGTGAACCAATTCAATATTTTGAGATTTCATATTTCAAACAAAATATAAATGTTTTTGGTATTTCAAAACTAAGCAATAGTTCATCCACCAGAGAACTCCAAACATGCATCTGGTCATTTTAAAACAACTTATAAAATCAAAACATTTCCAGGGAAAACTTAGCAATCAAAGCTTCTACGAGGTAACAATGAGCCATAACTTCCCAACCGCTACCTAATTTTAGATGAAAACTTTCACTTGAAATAAGAGTATGCCAGAAGCTTTGATGTTAACTCTCAAAGCCATTATTTTGTAGCCACATGTGACTTAACCCTCAGTGTTTGAAAATATGTAAATCAGGGAAAAGATTCTCTATTTATATTTCCATTGCCTCTATTTTTTCCCTGCATTTTCCTGACTACAACTGTATAAAAGACAAAGAGAACATTTCTTTGGGGCCTGAGGTAACATGGTTTTTATACTTTATGACACTGGTGACAGGACTTTTGTTAGAAACTTGGTCTTGGGCAAGGGCATAACATGGACTAGCTTGCTTTGTGCAGACAGTTCAGAGAGGCCCTTGTCAGCACTCACCAGCAGCGCAACACACAAGAGATATCCTGAATTTCCAGAACACTTATGTTTTGTTCATTATGCAACTAATCATTTGTGTAAAAACATCTTTAATGCTGTTACTCAGTTTTCATTTGTTCATGCTTTATCTTCTCATCTAGACTCAAGCTCTTCAGGGAGAGAAAGTGTATCTTAGCCTTTCAGTCTTGCAAAATTTAGCACACTGCCTCACATATCAATGACTAACAAGTACTCTAGGGATGGCTCAAGAACGAAGATAAATAATTATGCTTTCCACTTTCTAAAACGGCGTCATCTGAAAAATATAGTAAGAGAGTGGGAGAAATTTAAACTCTCTGAAAGAATATTGGGTCAACTGTAACAATTTCTCACTTAAAAGTTTCCTGTCCTGACTCAGTCTCACAAGTTCTAAGGTGTGCTTATTCTCGGGATACTGTACATCTAGAAGTTAAAATTTTCATAAGTAGGTTCTTGCTGCATTGATTGATTAAATTATAAGTATGTAAGTTAGAGAAAGTAATTTGGCTAAAATATTTTATGTACAGTCTACTACTTGATTAATTCTGAAGTCTTTCTATGTAAGAATAGGCATCTTAAACTTGCAAAATGCCAAGATTACAAAAGCAGAATTCAACACCTGAAAAGGGCCTTAAAAGTTATGTAGTTGAATTTACAGTAATGTGGCATGCTGAGATGGTTATGCAGACTGGACTGGAAAGTTTGAGCCACAGAGCCCACCAGCACTCTGCCAGCCAGTCCCAATGGTCGTGCATTTTCAGATGTTCATCTCATGCTTGCACTCCTGTGCAGAAACCGTTGGTTCTAGTTCTAAAAACTAATCTACCACCTCTTCACCAAAGTACATGAAGACAGCTGCCTTAAGATGTGCTTGGCAGCCTCACTTTTAGTATCAACAGAAATTTTACTACAGTCTACTGACGATGGAAAACAAATGCGCCCATTGCTTCGTGGAGCAAAGGCCACCTCCGTTCTAGAGAAAGCAACTCCTGATTCCATTGAGACATTGGGGCTGTATTCCCAGTATGCAGGATCAGGCTTCCTTCTGGAACTTCTGCTACTACTCTCTGCATGTGCTGCATCACAGCCTGAAACAGACGGCATTAGTCTGCCAGCTTCACTCTGCTGGCAAAGCCGAAACATGGAATCAAAGAGGTGAAGATTTCTGTCCTTGAATATTACTCTAAGAGTAGGCAATAAACATTCCCAGGAAGACAAGGGAAGAATAAGCCAATTAAAAAGTTCCTGGCTTTGAGTTGCCCCTGCTGAGTATCACTCATATCAATTTATTAAGATTTCTTTAAACCACTAATAGTTATTAGCCTTGGCCCATAACTATACATTTACCTAACCCTTATGTAATCTAAGTCTAACTTTCAGTTTGTTGGTAAAGTTCTGCGGTACTGAATTAAAAGCCTTATCACAAACATCAATTACAGAATATCTCCCACTTTTCAACCTTTTTAACCAAGAAAGAAATTGGCTAGTAGGATCTTAACGGAAATAGTTCTATTAATATTCTTGGCTTTGACATTACATAGGAATATATCTAATGATAACTTCCCCTAAAAAAGTCCGAGCAATTGAGAAATAAAAATTTCCATATAGAAGTAAAATCGGGGGCCGGCCCGGTGGCACACTGCTACAGTGCGCCGCTTGGGAAGTGCGGTGGCGCTCCTGCCGAGGGTTCGGATCCCACGCGCAGACCGGCCGCTCACTAGCTGAGCGAGGTGCGGGCCCAACACCGAGGGTTGCGGTCCCGTTGCCGGTCCCGGTCCGGTCCGGGCGCGACACTGAGGGTTGCGATCCATTGCCGGTCACGAAAAAAGACAAAAAGGGAAAAAAAAAAAAAAAAAAAAGAAGTAAAATCGGTAAATACACAGCAGAACACAGAACCTAATAAAACTTAACAGTATTACCTTCTTGGCACTTTCAGGACCTGATTCATCAAAGCGAAATCTGACAATTCTGAAATCTTTACAATAAATAATTAACTCTGTTGGATTAAATTTCAGTTTCTGGTTGGGGCCTAGGACTTTCTGCTTCCTCTTGTGGTCATTTACTAAAAAAGAAAGAAAGAATAAAATGTGTAAAAATTATTTTTTGTTACTCACTCTTTAGTACAATTTAACAAACTTTTTTTTTTTTTAGTCCAAAGAGAGTAAGAATGAATAAAAAATTCTGAATGAATTAGTTAGTCATCTCTTGGGCAATGCTTCTTTGGAATCTTTCATATTTGTCTACAATTCCTAGAACTTTGTGGGGTCGATCTCAACTTCCTTTTTGAAGATATTTTAAATGACTCTTTGCACAAAACAACCATCATCTAGATACACTTAATGATTAGGATTTTAATTAAAAACAAGACAAAAACTTAAAAATTATAGAAAGCTATATTCTATATACATTCTGTATCTCCATTTTAAAATAATATCTTGACCTCCCCTTTCATTAATGTTCCTGGGACTCAAAAAAAAAAAAAAAAAAAAAAAGGTAAAGTAAACCTACAGAAATAAAATTCCAACTCAAGTATTTAAGAGGTATGACTCTTCAAGCAATACTTCCAGAGCAAAAGCAACTTTCAGAGAGAGTGCATACAGAATACTACATACCTGTGACAATTTGCTCAATACATGTTAAAGGGACATCATGTTCACCAAGAAGAAGGTTTCTGTAATGGAATTTCTGAAATAAAAAATTGTGTTTACATTAATTTGTTTTCCAAGAACTTCACAGTGGTAATACAAGCTTTACTTTTGAGTGTGATGAGATATTGTGGGGATCATCTCTAAAAAGCAAAACAAACGTTCACCTGTGTAGCTAGGACCATTGTAAGGATGTAGCATCTTAGAACACAATTTAGTAGTAAAGCAAAGGCAGAGAGAAAGAAATGCGTGTGTGCACATTCTCTACACCTTTCTCCCTCTCCCCATTTTTAAAAAACAGATGGAAATTAGATTAAAATGTACACCACAATACCACTGTAATATCCAAGACATGTAATATTATCAGTCACTTCAAAGGCAAACATTTGCATGTCTAGTTCTAGACAAACTGGCCACAAAATAACAGAGGAAAAGCAACTCCTAGGTCATCAGATTTTAATGGGTAAAATCATGCTTGATTTTCACAATGAAGATTTTAGAACAAAAAATATCTTTTTAGAGCGCAAAGTCTACTAGAAATAAAAATATTTTTAAAAAGTTTTTGGTAAACTATAGCTCATTTTTTTCACCTGTTAACATTTTATACTCATTTTCAAACTAAGGACATAGTTAAACCACTATTAACCTGTTGTTAGTAGGGCACTGATTTATTTTTCCTATTAGTGGTATTGGATTCAAGCTATTCCAGGTATCTGCTTCTCATTTACAGTGAAGTCTGGGGCCAGGCATCATAATAAAGCTAAAAACGAAGGAAAAAAATCCAAGTCTACAAGCAAATAAGCTGGTGTCCCTACATGCTAGGTATCTGCAAATGCATTAAATTTAGTGTAAATATACCCAAGAAGATTGCAACAAACACACAAATATACCATAAATATTATGGTAAATTAATGACTGAAATATATGAAATATACTTATATATAAGTAGACCCTTCAATGAAAAGTTTATATTACGATGCAAATATTTTGTTAGAAAATAATTACTATTATAAATCAAGATATAGGGGGCAAGTATATAACACTTTACAAATAAAAAGAGAAAATAGCTGAGAGGAAACTCCAGGATTTTTAAGTTAATCAACTGAATGTCTAAACCAAAATTTAAAAGCCCAAATTATATGGAACTATTGTTTTCCAGTAAGAATATAAATTAGCAAGAGGATTATTAAAGAAAAAAATTTATCAACATTTTTTTTCACTCTTACTGCACCAGAAACTAGAATTTGACTTTTTGGGAAAAGAACTAATTAGTTAAAAAACTATGGAATCAGTAAAATGTGCAGCATTTATATTTGCTAAATAATTAAATTTTTCTCTTTATGTCTAGTAAAAAAGGATACATTTGTTTTTACACACAAGTTAAAAGATTTGGAGGAGAGAAAATAACTTCCTCATTGAAAAAGATACATAACGGGCCGGCCCGGTGGCGCACTCCTACAGTGCGCTGCTTGGGAAGCGCAGTGGCGCTCCCGCCAAGGGTTCGGATCCCACATACAGACCGGCCGCTCACTGGCTGAGCGAGGTGCGGGGGCAACACCGAGGGTTGCGATCCCGTTGCCGGTCCCGGTCCGGTACGGGCGCGACACTGAGGGTTGTGATCCATTGCCGGTCACAAAAAAAGAGACAAAAAGGAAAAAAAAAAAAAGAAAAAGATACATAACAAATGATGACAGAGGATAAGCAAGATGGTTGAAAATAATCTCACTAATACTATTCCTCAAGCAAGTCCAACATTCTCCTTCAACTTTAATATTATTTTGGGAACATATTATATTAAAATTCAAAATAATCACCTATTAATACTTTTATTATAATTTTTCCATACCTGTGATTTGTAGAACAACATGTACTGCTTAGAGTTGAAAGCCTTGATAGAGTTAAACAATGTACAAATGGAACACACCTGTAAGGGCATTGGGTCATCAGTGATGAAGGAGATTTTGAAGTTACTGCATATCAGCTTTCCCCACAAATCATACTGACTTGTGTCTGTTGCAATGCATTTTCTCACAAAATTGACTTCATTGACAACAATTTCTCCTTTAAAAAAAAAAGAAAAGTATCACTGTGTGAGTTACAACTACACCATAAAAATGTCAACAGTCACTGTGTGACCTAGAAGGAATATTTCTTGTGACGGCAATGACGATGATAGTAAGAAGGAACATTCACCTGCCTACCACAGGTGTCAGGCAGTCTAAGTGTTGTACGTCCTCACAAGAGGAACAGCAACAAGGCATTGTTCTCCACGTGTAAGGTGTAGAAACTGAGGCAGAAAGATTTCAGGGGGCCGAGCTGGTTGAACCAGAAAGGCTGACCTGCGTCTGCACTCTTTATTCTATGTGCTATACTGCCTCTAGTTATTTATCTGTTCAAAGACATTCTGGAGAAGAAAAAACTACACCCTGTCCTTTACTAGCACATGATGATCTCTCAAGCCAATGTATGATTGTAAGGGATAAGAAACAGAGTCCAGTTTTATTTATCTTAAACTATATCCCATAAAACCAAATTAAGTTTCCCCCTGCACTTAAATTATAACTTAGGAGGCAATAAAACATTAAAATATAGTTTGAGTTAAAACGGAAGATTCAAGAAGTAAATATAAGAAACCAAAATTTATAATCTGCTTTTGAAAAGAATATCTTCTGTAATTTATTTAAAGCTTGATCATCATTAAATCTTAATTACAAGATACAAAACTCAACTAGACCCAGGAACATTTTTAAGCTATTAGTGTCTGGAGTCAATGGTAGAAAAGCTAGGGTACTGATCTACTTTGCCTATTTCTATCATTATAAAAAGACAATCTGTTTGCTGACAATCCCCAAACATCTACCAATTCATGAAGAATAAAACTATAGCCTCAAAACAATCCTCTCTCTAACAAAAATGTCACAATAAATTTGAGTTGCAATAATAACTTTTACTCAAAGTTCTTAAAAATGCACAAGGCTAGTTTTAAGAACAGCCTCCTAACATTTACTTGGGGATTTAATACAAATCTGCTCAGGTCAAATCCTCAGCTCCAACCACCCGAGAAAACTTCCATTCTGAAGACAAGCCTTCTTCATGGGACCTAACAGGCCCTGCAGGCCTCTCCGGCCACCACCTCCTCACCCTCACCACTCTACCCATGGTGACCTTCCATCAATCCATCATACGTACCATGCTGCTTCCATCTATGGTGTCTTTGAACAGGTTTCTATTTCTTGGAATACTCTTTCCTTCTCCCTTAGCTTAATCACTGTCTCAGGAATGCATTTTAAAAAAAAATTCTTCCTTCCTAGATTAAATCTCCCTATCACAGCATCATATACTTGTAATCCTACCACTCATTACAGCTATAATTTTATGTACATACATATTTTGAAATTAATGCCTGCCTCATTTTCAGGGTTGTATGCTCCATGAGGGTAGAAGATGGACTGATTTTTATCTGATGCTGAAACTTCAGCACCTAGAAAAGTGCCTAGCACATGGTAGGTGCCTGTTAAATGAGTGTTGAACGCATGCATGAATGAAATCACTTCACTACACCTGGTTCACCAGATAACCACCACCGGTTGGACAGAAGCTGTTCTGGAGAGAACAAAAACTAGTAATTCAGTATGGCCAGGAAGACAAGGGCTGTTTGGTTAAACTTATATGAAGTAGAAAAGTCACAGAACTGCCAGTGCTTGCCTACACATGCAGAGAGAGCTGTAAAAACTACCAGTGGTAATTTTCCATCATGTATCCTGTCTTTCAACAACCTATAAAAGTAAGGGAGGCAGATGTTTTCCTTAACACAGAGAGAAGGGACTTGGACCCAAAGAGGTTAAAATCACTTTCCTAAAATCTTAAAAATAGTAAGAAGTAAATTTGGAACTTACAGCCAAGTGTTCTGACTTTAAATCCAATACTTGTTTCCCTATACTTACATAAATTTAAATGTAGTGAGATATGGCAAGTACTTAAAACAATTAAAGATTCAAAGTACTGATCTTAACTGGATTCTAATGAGAAACAAATTTTAAATGACAAAAATATACACTAAAAACTCATCAAATAATTCAAATACATAAAATTTAAATCTTCTATAGCTCCTTGAACAGGAAGCTTACCAACTCCCATATCAGAATCGGGGCTACTGAACACACGACCCTCTCTCTCTACCACTAAATCTTAGCTACCAATTATAAGCTGCCAATCTTAGCTACCAGTTATAACAACTAAGTTAATTATTCCTAGTTCAGATAGAGGACATACTCCTATAACAGTGACTTCCTTATACCAAAACTACTGGTTCATACCGTGCCACCTTTCCAATCCAGCCAACTCATCCAAAACAATGCTACAAAAACTCATTCTGTTGTAACACTTATAATTCATTCATATCTCTTATGTTTGTTATACTCAAATAAAGACTTACTTAAAAAAACTAAACCAAACCATACCACAGGACTCCAGGTTCCTGAGAAGGAGAGCTGAGTTTATAAGGGGAAGAAGGAGAGGAAGGGCTTATGGCGCAGGACATCTCGGCCACCAAAGACCCATCAGCCAATCATACTTATGAGGCACATACTCATGACAGCCCTTCTTCTCTAGAAATCCTATTCTTTTACCAATGCACAAATGTAAAATGTCAAGACTGCGAATGCAGTGAGAATGGGACAAAGACAAGAAAGAGAATGCATTTAATGGGTCTAGGGGATGGTAAACCATGGCCCGTGGGGTAATACAGATCCCTGTTTTGATGAATAAAATTGTACTGAAACACAGCCATGCACATTTGTGTACTGTTTATGGCTGCTTTCACGGAACCAAGGCAGAGCTGAGTGCCTGAAACAGCCCTTATGGCCCACAAAACCCAAAATGTTTACTATCTGGCACTTTACAGAAGAGTTTTGCTGACCCTGGGGTCAGAGATGGTTACTTAAGTGACAACTCGTAAAACCATGTGAAACAAGGGTTAGAAAATGCACAGGCATGTCCTATCTGAAGGAAGGTGCTTTCAATCTGCAACTTTTTTTTTTTTTGGTGGCTGGCCAATACAGGGATTGAACCCTGGACCTTGGTGTTATCTGCACCAGACTCTAACCAACTTACCTAACCAGCCAGCCTCAATCTGCAATGTTGCAGCAATCTCAGAGATCTCTGGAGGACCACTGAGAACAGTGAAGAGGACAGACAACCTTCCTCCTGGAATGTGTCTATGAGAGTCTGGTCAAAAGATTCATTTCTCACCAATGAGCTACAGCATTCAGAAAGTGAAACGGAAACCAGGCCTAACTGCTGTTAATTAAGAATCAATATTGTCAAAATGATACTACCCAAAGCGATCTACAGATTCAATGCAATTTTTATCAAAATACCATTAACATTCTTCACAGAAATAGAAAAAAAAATCCTAAAATTCATATGGAACTACAAAATTTGCTGAATAGCCAAAGCAATCCTGAGCAAAAAGAATAAAACTGGAGACATCATACTACCTGACTTCAAAAATACTATACAGCTACAGCACCCAAAACAGAATGGTAATGGCATAAAAACAGACACATGGACCAATGGAACTAAATAGAGAACACAGAAATAAATCCACGGATCTACAGCCAATTTTTGAGAAATGCACCGAGAACATACACTGGGGAAAGGTGCTGGGAAGGGTGGATATGCATATGAAGAAGAACGAAATTAGATGGCTACCTCTCCACATATAAAAAAAATCAACTAAAAATGAATTAAAACCTTACATGTAAGACCTGAAACTATAAAACTACTAGAAGAAAAAAGAGGGGAAATGCTTCTAGACATTGTTCTGGGCAAAGATTTTATGGAGAGGACTTCAAAGCACAGGCAAAAAGCAAAAATAGACAAACGGCACTACATCATACTAAAAAGCTTCTGCACAGCGATGGAAACAATCTAGAGTGAAGAGGAAACTTGAAGAACTTATCAGCAAAAAAACAAATAAAACAATTAAAAATGGCCAAATGAGCTGAATACACATTTCTCAAAAGAAGACATACAAATGGTCAACAGATTTATGTAAAAATGCTCAGCATCACTAATCCTCAGGGAAATGCAAAGCAAAACCATAATGAGAGATCATCTCACCCCAGTTAGAATGGCTATTATAGATAAGACAAAAAATAACAAATGCTGGCGAAGATACAGAGAAAGGGGAACTTTCATACACTGTTGGTAGGAATGTAAATTAGTACAGCCGTTGTGGAAAACAGTATGGGGGTTCCTCAAAAAACTAAAAACAGAACTACGACATATGTGTTCCAGCAATCCCACTATTGGCTATTTATCCAAAAGAAAGGAAATAAGTACACTGAAGATGTATCTGTACCCACATGTTTATTGTGGCACTATTAACAATAGCCAAGATATGGAATCAACCTCAGTGTCCAACAGATGAATGGATAAATAAAATGTGATACATATGTACAGAATGGAATACTACTCAGCCATAAAAAAAAAGAATGAAATCCTGTCACTTGTGGCAACATGGATAAGCCTGGAAGAAATTATGTTAAGTGAAATAAGTTAGGCACAGAAAGATAAATACTACATGTTCTCACTGGTACGTGGGACCTAAAAATGTTGAACTCATAAAAGAAGACAGTAGAATGGTGGTTACTAACATCTGGGAAGGGTGTGGGATGGGGGGATAGGGAGACTGGTTAACAGATATAAACTTACAGCTAGACAGGAAGAATAAATTCTAGTGTTCCATAGTAGTGCTAGGTATCTATAATGGACAATGATTTATTGTATATTTTCAAATGGCTAGAAGAGAGGAGTTCAAATGTTCTCAACACAAAGAAATAACAAATATTTCCAATGATCGATATGCTAATTATGCTGATGTGGTTACCACACATTGTATACACTTATCAAAATATCACTCTGTACTCCATAAATATGTACAATTATTACATGTCAATTAAAAATAATTTTTAGGGCCGGCCTGGTGGCGCACTCGGTAGAAGGCGGCGCTTGGGAGCGCGGCGGCACTCCCGCCAAGGGTTCAGATCCCATATAGA